AGGGGAAACAAAACCTAGGCTTTCTGGTCCTTCCAATACTCCCATGCATCCATAGTTATCTGCCAGCTATGACTTGTTTTTGAACAATATAGTTATGTCTATGGAAGTGTATATTATTTTCTTGCACATAGATGAAGTTAGCAAGTGCTGATTATCGTTGTGGTCTTGTATCAAAACTGAGTACTCTTTTTTGAAATAAAAGGGCACACACTAACGAGCGAAATTGAACCCACAACTTCCTATTTATATGAGAGCTTATACATCAATACGTTATAAAGTTATCAGTCACCATTATTAGTTCTCCTAAACAAGAAAGGGATGTGCGGAGTTAGTGATTAAATTCAAGCTATATATAATATAAATATGCACGGTAGACAATAGTTTGGAAAAGTTGTGATATTTTTTTTTCCTTTTCTTTTATATTTTCTCCCAATTATTTTAATCTAATTATTAACTTTTAATTTCTGGCAAAAAATTATTTACTTTTAAATGGGGTTAAATGGTAAATTAATTCATAAATTAGTAATCGAGGAGCATCTGTGACTTTAAATTTATTTTTAATGCAATGTTTCCTTTTAACTTTTAAAAATTATACAATCTAACTTCTACCATTAATAAAAATTAAATTTGATCATTAGTTAATTACAAAATAATTGATAAAGACATTAAAAATTGAAAAAATGATTAAAAAATTATAGCAAAAGACCCAAAAACTACATACAAGAATTTACAAAATTACATAAAGGGACCAAGAAAATTTTAAAATTTTGTCAATCATTTTTGTAATTTTTGAGGTTTTGTTTTGTTATTTCCTAGTCAGTTAATGGTAAAATAAAAGTTAACTTTTTCTAAAGGTAAGGGCTAAATTGTATTAGTTTTGAAGAATGAAAAGGAATATTGTATCAAAAATAATTTTAGAATCCTTGAGGTTCTTGGATGTATAGTTTAAAAATTAATTTGTTCTTTTATTTCTTTTAAATGACATGTTTGCAGAGTGAAGGGAGAGAGTTAATCTTTTTTTAAAAAAATTGATTTACTTATAACTTAATTTTTAGAATTTATCTTAGTGCATTCAATATGTTTAATGTCTCGACGACATTTACTAGATGATTTTTTTAAAGGTGTCAAGACCAATAAATGAAAAGACTAAAATTTATGATATTGAGTTGGATGAATTAACATTTGAAAAATGGGTTATAATTCAATCATAACTACAAAAACATAGTAATAATACTTTCTGTATAGAAGGAGTTGTTTTATTGGAGGCTTTGACAAGTTAAAGTATTACATAATTTATAGAGCTAATAATATGTCAACCCATCAATTGACAAAAAAAGAGGGTGGGTTGGGTTAAAGAAAATAAGTTCATGTAGATGTGTGCCAACGAGTTGGTGGTTTTACCTTCTTTTAAAAAAAAACAAAACAAATAAAAAATGTTAAAATAAGCTTTTTTTTACTCTCGCTCAATCAAACAAGACAAACCCTCGCTCACTCAATCACTTGCTTAGTCACAAGTTGCAACTCGTCTCTTGAATCTCTACTCTAACTCTCCTTTATGACCACTGGCAGTGACCTTAGCTCTCCACTTTGGCTGTCGTGAGTTCTCATCCTCCTCCTTTGTTCTCATCGCGTCAAAAGCCCAGAGTTGCCTATCAATCTCTTCATCCCTCTAACCTTTTGCCTCTTGATCTCCCCTTATCTCATCCCTCTTGGTCCCTCTGTGACCCTAGCTCTCCAAAAACCCAAGTTTAATTTTTGCTATTATTCTTGTTTTGAAATTGATTGCTCGTGTTCTGGAATTTTGCTTTTGGTTTTACTTTTTGCTATATGAATTTTTTCTGCATTTTTTAGTTTTGATTTTCTTTTTATATTCACTCTTTAAAAACCCTTGTCAATGAATTTTGTCTAGCTAGTTAATTCATTTCTTTATTTACTTTGGTTGAATTAATTATATGTTGTAGGATGGCTTTTACTAATGCTATAAATAGTCAAGCTAATATGGAAAAACCAACACTTGCTAAATCTAACTCTTTTATGCAATATAATTTAAATAAAAAGGATACAACAAAAGCTTGCACATTTGAAGTATGTAAGTATTATACTAAAATTGATCTAGTAGATGAAAAAGAAAAGGCTGCATGCAATGGTTATAGAAAACCATTTGCTATTGGTGGTAGGGATTATGGCAGTTCAAACCTTTGCCATTATATCAACACATGTTTATCATTTTGAAAATATTATGACACTAGTACGATAGATTAAGTTGGGAAGCTTAAAACTAGACAAAGTGATTACAATAAAGTTTGAGAAATAATTTTTATAGCTATCATTCAACATGATTTTCCCTATTCTTGGGTTGAGTATGAATAGGGTTAGGAAGTTACATAAATATTTGAGTCTTGATTTTAAACTCATTACAAGAAAAACGATTATGATGGATGTTTGGAATTTCTATCTTCATCAAAAGGAAGATTTGAAAAAGACTATAGCAAATGGTCCTAGTAAAGTATGCTTGACTGATTGTTGGACTATAGCAACTTCTAAAGGTCATCTTTGCTCAATTGCACATTTTGTTGATGAGAAATGAAAACCTAATAGCAAAATTCTTGCATTTACAAAGATGGATCCTTCACACTCTAGAGTTGAATTGGCTGAAAAAGTGTATGAATGCTTGATAGATTGGGTGATTGAGAAGAAAGTTTTTTTTATCATTCTAGACAATGCTTTAGCTAATGATAATATGCAAGATATATTGAAAGATATGTTGAACTTATAAAATAGCTTGATATGTTTAAGGGAGTTTTTTCATGTGAGATATTGTGCCCACGTTTTGAATCTCATAATTAAGAAGGCCTGAAAGTAGCAACTGATGTGGTGTATAAGATTAGGGAGAGCACTAAATATGCAAAGACATCAGAGGCAAGGATGATAAATTTTAAAAAATATGTTCAAGATGGAGGGGATGACATTTTCATGGCTTGAAGTTAGATGTCCCAACTAGATGGAATTCAACATATGTAATGCTTAAAATTGCACTTAAATATCATTGTGCTTTTGGTATTTAGCTTTATGTAGTACCAATTTTAAATATTCTTTCACAAGTGAAGAGTGGTTTAGAGTAGAGGAGATGTGAAAGTTTTTAAAGCCATTTGCAATAATAACAAATTTGATTTCTTGGTCATCATATCCAACTTTTAACATGTATTTCATGCAAATTTTAAATATCGAATCATTGTTAAAAGCAAATTCAAATAATGTTGATCATGTGATTAGAGACATGGCTTCTAGAATGCTTGTCAAGTTTGATCAATATTGAAATGATTGCCGTGTCATTCTTGCTCTTGGGATTATTCTTAATCCAAGGATAAAGTTTGATATAGTAAAGTATTTTTACTCAAAACTTGATCCCAAACATTGTAATAAAAAAATTTGAATATATTTAGAACGAATTATATTATTTATTCAGTGATCATAGAGATGTGAGATTGTCATCATCTTCAATTACTAATGATAGTGTTGTAGGAGAGGGTGTATCAAGTTCCAATGTGCCTTTGTCATTGTGATCATCATCATATCATTTTTCATATTTGAATGTGTTCTTTTAATGTCATTTGGATTGACAATTTTAGTGATGCTTAATAATTTAATTTTATGTTCTAAGATTATCTTACTTGCAAGAACCAAGATACTACATCCATTAAAAAGTTTGAATTAGACTATTACTTAAAAGAAGCAACACTTGATCTTAGCTTGAAAAAAATTAAACATTTTGAAATATTGAAGGACTAACTTGACTCGATTTCCTCATATTTCAAGGATGGCATGTGATATTCTTAATACCTCAACCACTACAATAGCTAGTGAATTTGCTTTTAGAATTAGATTGAAAGTTCTCATAAAGTATCGAAGTAGCCTTTTTTCAGATAATGTTGAAGCTCTTATTTGTATTTAAAATTGGATTCTTAGTTTTCCATGATTGGTAGTGTAGTAGTTATATTTTTTCATTTACCTTTTAGATTTCTACATGTTAATTGTATTTTCCTATTTAATTATATTTTATTTTTTGTTTGTGGTAGATGAAGCTTTGAAGAAATTACTCAAATTAATGTTATTATAGCTTATAATAAAACTTCTAATATTATGATTGATCATAAGCAATTTTCAAACTTTGAATTGTAATTTAAACTTTCTATTGTGTTTGTTTGTAATTGAGCATATGTTTATTTTTTTTACTGTATTAATATGATTTAAATTGTATTATATTTTTTAATGATTTAGAAGGAATTTTATTGTTATTTGGACAATTAGTTTTTAGAGAAAAAATATAATTTTTTTACTGCCCCAAAAAAAAAACAAAGAGATGAATTTTTAATTTTTAAAATTGAAAAATTAAATAATGTTTTACTGATAGGTTAGCCTGCCAATTCACACAAATACAACCTGTCAAAATATAAGTTATGCTAACTCGCCCTGTCAAACCCACAGCCTGCTGCTATTGTATGCTGGTCCATGTTACCATCTCCACATGGATGATATTTTAGACGTGCTGTAATTATATTTTGATGGATCGTGGGCATTGTTCGTCTTTGTAATGGCATCACTCATCCGCCGAGGAAAGAAACATTTTTGGGGGCTGTTTAATTTCACTGTGTTAGGAAACAATATCCAGTTTACTCAAAAAGAAAAAGGAAAGACTACCTATCTTATACAATTATGCAAACGTTCCTGGGGAAAAAAAGCCATACATGCATGCATATTGATATTTCCATATTTTTACAACACGATTTCAAACCGCTTATTTCCGCGTCACACACACATTTGTGATGTCTTGCATTTCACTTCAAAAATTAAAATGAATCTATCAAATATCAATCGCGAGGTTTAAAGAAAAAGCAAACAAAAACGACAAAAAAAAAAAAAAAGCACGGAAATTGTGTACTAGGGTTGCCGGTGCGCAACATGCTGCATCTCTTCCATAGCATTAGGCCACTAGCATGTGATGATTGGATTCCGATTCCGAAGACCGTATTTTCATACGATGTACCGAGTGTCACGTGTCAACTTTTCCTCTCATCCTGCCAAATTTCTATTTTCTGTTGCTAATTTTCTTGGGCGAATTTTCTGTTGCCATTTTATCATTACAATATAACACAATTCCCGCTGTTAATCATGTATCTGCAACATGTCTAATTTCACTTCTCCATCCTAAATCTCTCGGATCTTTGCAGAATTCCCCTCATTTTTGTTTCGCTCCCGCTCATGTTCCATCTCTTCTTTTCCTTTAAGATCACCTGCACCGTTCACCCAAAAGATCTGATCTAGGGTTCTCACTTAATCGGCAGCTCCCAATCTGACTATTTCAAGAGCATTTCTTTTGTTTTGATATATAATATTGATTGATACGTACAATCTCGATTCAGACGCATTCAAATTCAACTGAAAATTAATCCTGGATTCGGATTGATCTCTATGCCGCTTGGTGGTTTGGTTTGTGATTGTGAATGAGAAAATAGGGATTTGTTTTCATGACCATGGAAGTCGTTAATGATTTGGCGTCCTTGGACGTTGAGTTGTTGCAGCTCCAAGACGTGTCTGCTCTGGCCCTCAAGTCTAACCTGAATTTTGTTGAAAAGCTCTTCGAGCAGTGGCTGTCGTTTCCTGAAAGCAATCGAGTGGTAGGCTTCATTCGATAATTCTCAATTTTGAAATCAGAATGTCAAGAGTCTCATTAGCTTGCTTTCTCTGCTTTTATTGGGTTTGCTTGATGCTTATCTTTGAAAACAAACCCAGTACGTGTATGGATATTTGAGTGGAACAGATTTATTGGTGCAATGGGAAAGACAGGAATCTCGGTTGTTACAAACCGATGGTTTAGATAACTATGGTCGAATACTCTTAAGTTGTTTCGCAGATGCATCTTTACGTTTGAACGCCAAAGGCATAGACAAAAGTAGAGATTGTAGCCATTTCGACGTGAACGTACTATCATGAATGCTTACCTCGAAGTCATGCAGAGGAACTCTCTGATCCTTGAAGTATATGAATATCAAATGCTGTTTAACAACCAGATGTGATATACCTTTTTGTATTCGATTTTGGATTTCTTGATCCCGACGTGCTTAATTTTTCTAGTTTCTCACTTGTTTGTGTGCATAGGTAACATCATTGTTGAATGACGCAAAGTCAGGTGTTCCCCTTAATGTCCCTGGGAATTGCTCCAGTCCAAATGCTGCAAGCAGTCCTTTGCCGTCCATGTTTCCTGCTGGCACTGCACCTCCTCTTTCACCAAGAAGTTCTTCTGGTTCCCCTCGCATAGTGAAACAGAGAGTTGGTCCTTCTAATTTGAGCTCTCCTTTGAAAGTTGTCAGTGAACCGCCTAAAGAATTGATACGTCAGGTATATCTTCTTAGTATCTTTCCTTGGTGACACTTTCGTGGCTGTGTTTTTGTTTAGTGCTATGTTATCCTTGATAAAATATTGATCTGCATGCTTGCAGTTTTACTTTCAAAATGGGCGTCCACCACCAAATGAACTGAGGGAACAATTCTTGTTTAGAGTGGATCAGTTATTTTATGGTCACTTGGATGGACTGCAGATGCATGGTGAGATATAAACATATATAACGGTGATAGCCTGAAAGCACATTTTGTTTCAACTAGGAATTAAGTGATTTTGAATATTGTAATATTTTAGCTTCTTCCAATAGTTAAATCTTGATTTTGGGTAACTATCTTGTTTTCCTATACGTTGGTAATCAAGAAAAAGTATTTATTCATAAAAGAAGTCACGTTCAAACCGTGTTAGAGTTGTAAAGTAACAATTAACACTAAGAATGATATTCTTCTCATTTCTCTGGTGTGTCAGAATTCAAATCGGCTACCAAGGAAATCTGCAAGCTGCCATCTTTCTTTTCCTCATCTCTTTTCAGAAAAATTGATTCCAATGGAACTGGTTTGGTGACAAGGTGTGTACTTTAATATATCCAGATGCAACTTCTGCATTTCTATCTGTGCCATGGATGGTGCTACATGGTTTTGGCTGTTTAGTTGTGACCCACGTTGAAATTATAATCAGTGATTTTTGAACAAAAACCAAAGGTTATTAAACAAGTAAAACAAGCATATTCAATGTAATTGTCGTTATCATTATTATTTTTTTTGGACTGAGACTTTTTTGGCACATTCTTTCACTTCTGATCAAACTGGAAGTCCAGCTTTCTTGTTGGCCTGGTTTTGACATTGTGTATTCTTCCCTTAATTTTTCCATGCATAATCAGATAATGTTTGAAAGAGTTACTTGACATCATTTTACTTATATCACGAAGAATCAATAGTTCTCCATCGCATGAAGATTGCCTTTGGTATAGGAATTATGGGTTCCTCAATGTCATGTATATGTATTCTCACTCACTTATCCGGTTCAAAGCTACATAGCAAAGTACATTGTGCTAAATAATGTGTTTACAGGGACATGAGCGTGTTTATTGTAGCTGAGAAACCGTGACTGAATTGGATCTATCAAATTTGAAAATTCGAAATTCTTGTCAAGCGAATGCTTTTTCCTCTGCTGAAGATAGCTTTCCCTCTATGACAAAGTGATACAATTTTTAGCTTATTTTCTTGGAAGATATATGCTTTCCTAAAATGTACCCTTGCTCTATTTAATTCTCCTTTCCAATAGTGAAGGTATCCAAAGTTAATGGTGCTTTCCCTGTAATAATCACTGACACTTTTTTTCTTGATTTTATATATCTAAAGGGATGCATTTGTTGATTACTGGATCAATAACAGCATGTTGACGGCAGATATAGCAACTCAAGTATACAAAATTTTAAAGCAACCAGATCTCAACTACCTCACACAGGTTTGATCTTATTGAGTTATGAATTATATTTCTATAGATTCTTCTCATTTGAGAACAATTCTCTATTCCATGTTAGGATGATTTCAAACCTGTGCTTCGTGAGCTTTTGGCTACTCATCCAGGGCTGGAGTTCCTGCAGAGTACTCCCGAGTTTCAAGAGAGATATGGTTTGTCCTTAGTCCTAACTATAACATTGCAGTTATTGGTTTGCATAATAAAATGCAGATGTTTGCATGTGATACTGAAAGTCCTGAGATATTATGTTTCTTTGAAACTTTCTTGTCTAATAAATCTATTTTTCATTACTTCTTATTGTCTCCCTCATGAACACTTTTAGAGATGTAGTCCCTTTATCTAGATGACAGTTTTCGTTGTATGCTGCTTGTTCATGAGACTAGATCGAAAGTTAATTTTGTAGTAGAAATGAGGAAGTAAACAATGAATATGTGGGCTCAAAATCAAGCATAATCTTTTTTCTATGTAGTACCCTGTGTCCTTGTTTTTGTACAATGATGGAATTTTTATAAATTAGTTTTGGGTGTATATTTGGTGAATAACTTGTGCGATCAGTTTTCTCTGATGAAAATTATGAATCATGCCCTTTTATAAGTAAAAAAATTCTTGGGAACTTTTCCTTGAATCTTGTTCAATTGAAACTAGCCTCATCTTGAAAACTAATCGCCTTTGTTTCTTACCATGCATGGGCATGATTCTTCATAGCTGCAAGCCTACAATCAGTTCTTACAGGCATTCCTTACAACAAAGAAATTCAGATGGCCTCATCATCATCTTCTTCTTCTTGTTTTTTAATCAAGATTTTAATCAAATTCCTTGCCAACAAAGTTAATTATGTAATGAATATCATTTTTATTTAATTTCATTTATCTATTTTTTTTTGGACTTTTACCACTAATTGCACTAATAATACATTATATACATTTGTTGAAAAAGTAGCACTTCAACTGTCTGAGTGCAAGGAGAAATAATTTGAAGTACTGTATCAATCAATTTTGATTTTCAAGTCCGGACATGGACTGGTGTCATTTATCATGGTTTTTGGAGTGTTAAGGTCGCAACTTTCATGCTCTGTTGTCTTTTCTATGTTTCAGCTGAAACTGTTATATATAGAATATATTACTACACAAATAGATCCGGGAATGGCCATCTTACCCTGAGGGAGCTGAAGCGCAGTAACATAATTGATGCAATGCAGCATGCAGATGAAGAAGAAGACATCAACAAGGTTTTGAGGTACATATGCTTGGGAGTTTTGCTGCATTTAACTACACAAACGCCTTTTCCTTTTTTCACTTGATGATGCATCCACATGTTCTGTGTAGGTACTTCTCCTATGAACATTTCTATGTTATATACTGCAAGTTTTGGGAGCTGGATACAGATCACGATTTCTTGATAGACAAGGAGAACCTTATCAGATATGGTAACCACGCGCTTACCTACCGTATTGTCGATAGAATATTTTCTCAGGTTTGTGTAAATTAGATGTTGCTTTTGTCTTGAAACCTAAATGCTGACGTCTTGAGGGACAAGTCCCACCTACTATAAGTAAAATAAGCTTGTTTTTTCAGAGTTCTGTTCATTTATAGAATTTATCAATTTTTCTTTAAAAAAGAACAATCCTTGCTTGCTTCAATATCATCTCAGGTTCCGAGAAAGTTTACTAGCAAGGTTGAGGGAAAGATGGGATATGAAGATTTTGTTTACTTCATTCTGTCCGAGGAGGATAAATCATCTGAGCCTAGTCTTGAGTATTGGTATTTTTTTTTCCTTTTGGTTCTCTTATTATTTGCTTTACTACTTCTTGTTATGTAAGGATCAGATTAATGGCTGAACAGTTGCAATTATGAAGACAGTGCGTTAGATTAGGCATGTTTGTACCTTGCTTTATTCAGTTTGAATTCGCATCCATGTGCATTTCCATACATGTGCATGCGTCTCCTGCAGGGCAGTAGGGATAATGGGATACAGTCAACATGATTTATCTATTACTGAAACTTGATCTAAGTAATGTAAAGCACAGTACTAAAGAGAACAGCTCAGAACGACAAAATCTTGGCTTGTGAGGACAGTGTACCTCATGCCATTACAGAGCCTGAGTTTGTTGTTGTAAGCATCGTATAATTGAGTTTTTCTTTTTTTTGGAGCAATTGTAGTATTAGTATCAATGACAGTTTTTAGAGAAAGGGATAGGTGACTATTTGTTAGTGGCTGCATGTTACAGCTAAATGCATGAAAGTGGATAATGGAATATTCATGCTGTGTTCCAGGGATTGAAAACCAAAACTTCTCTTTGGTTAACTTGCTGCTGATTTCTTTTGATAGCTGCTTTGTTAATTGACTTTAATTTTCATTATTAGGTTCAAGTGCATAGATTTGGATGGGAATGGAGTTCTGACGCGGAATGAGCTGCAATTTTTTTATGAGGAGCAACTGCACCGGATGGAGTGCATGGCCCAAGAGCCCGTGTTTTTTGAGGATATACTATGCCAGATTATTGATATGATTGGGACTGAGGTTCTTCTTTCCTTCTTTCGTTTTGTAAGACCTTTCTTTATTTAATTTTTGGGAAGTCTGAAAACACCAGCAAATTACCTAAAAATGTGTACAGTAAGCAGCTTCTTGAGTTGTGTGAAAATTGTTCTCGTACTTGTTTTATTTAGTGCTCTCCTTTTTCTCATACTCTTCATGCTCGATACCATTACCTTTATTGTGACAATTTTTCTCATCTAGAATTCTTCATACTGCAGAATGAGAGCTATATAACTCTACGTGACCTTAAAGGCAGTAAGCTCTCAGGAAGTGTTTTCAATATCCTGTTTAATCTGAACAAGTTCATGGCCTTTGAAACGCGGGACCCATTTTTGATTCGTCAGGTTGATGAGAGATTTGATTAAAGCAACGAAACTGTCGAGTTAGTTTGCTTGGCCACTGTTTGTGACTGTTATGATCTTTGTCTTGCCTTGTACAGCAACGTGAGAATCCATCATTGACAGAGTGGGATCGCTTTGCTCATAGAGAATACATCAGGCTTTCTATGGAAGAAGATGTAGAAGATGTCTCTAATGGAAGTGCGGAAGTCTGGGACGAATCACTTGAGGCTCCCTTCTGAGACACTACTGTAAGTGGCTTAATTTAAAAAAATGACGCTACTACAAGCCTGAGCCAATATGATGTTGTGTCTCCGAATTGCGATTTTTGTTAACTTGTTATTTCTAGATGCATTCGGGAGAGTCAGAAATTGGAGATATCTGTCATGCAGTGTTGTGGTTATTCCTTTTTGTTTTTGTTTGAGAATAATTCAGCTTTCTGACACCTTTCTAAGTTTATCTTTACTTGCTGTATTAATAGAGGGGTTGAAAAGAAATGAACGCCCAGCACTCAAGGAGTGGCCATTTTTCAGAGACGCTGGACTAAGGATCAGCTTGGATCTTGCTAACCCTGCCCAGAAGATGGAAACTCTGAGCTTCACTATGAAACATGTTATTAATGGGCAAGCAGCAACGCAGCTATATTTTGATCTAGTTCTGGTAGTGAAAAGCATGAGGCCGTTATCACGCAAGTGTTATTGCCTCGTTCCAATGCACATGCAAGCCAGGTCGATTTTACTGATATTATTGGGTACGCTCTTTATTTGGGGCATCCAAGTTGTTATAGTTTATCTGTAGAAAGATGTTTTTCCCTCCACTAAATATCAAACGGTTGAAAGTTTTGCTCAGGTCGTTTCGATAGTTTACTATTTTTCCTTACCGCCAGAACTTGAGATCGGAAGTGGGGGCGATTAAAAATTAATGCACAGTTCACTTGAATTAAATTGGGGGTGAGATGATAGTGTTGTAGAAGGCTAATGGTTTTGATGGGGGAATTTCCGATGCGCAAATGCTCCCAACGGAAGCATTATTCATTTTTCATGTTTGTATCTTTAACGAGAGAGGGCAGAAATCTTCAAATTTGAGAATCCTGCCGTGGATTATGTTTTGTGAGATATTTGTTCTGGTGAAGATGGGAATTTTTTTGTTTTGTGGGGGGATTCTCCTGAAACTAGTTTGGGAACAGAGGGAACAGATATGAGGGTCATGATGCTCTCATCACAAGGATTAGTCGGTGTTAGTTCTGCAAAAATACTCAATTTAGTTTTATAAAAGTTCTTTCATATCGTTGCCGACTTTCGATTATTCAGTTTAGCTAGGTCACAATAAGAAATAAAAGAGAAAGACAAGCGAGCTCACAACTGAGGCCTGGGGCATGCTTGCGGACGTGTCAAGCATGAATTGGTTTTTTTTTTTTTGACTGAGTCAAGCATGAATTGTTGAAGGCTGGTGGGCGTAACGCTGCTTGCCCTGTCGGAGTTGTTCGGGTTTATCGGGTTGACGTCAAGTCCCTGCCTGAATATATATGTTTTTTTTATCAAGGAAAATATTTTAGTGAATAATAGCTATTTTATATTATTATATTTCTTAATATCTTTCAATATAGCAACCGCATCTTCTTGTTATGATTAGCATTGAAATTTTTTATATTAATTTTTAATTATTTTCAAAATTTTAAAGTAATTTTTTAAGTTAGTAATAAATAAAACTAATGAATAATTTTTACTTTTCATCCCACTATTAATTGCACATGAAATATATTAAATGAAGATGATTAAATTTTTTTGGTATAAAGATTTTTTTTTTAACATTGGTCTAAATTACTCTTACATCCCCTCTAATTTATTTTATTATATATATCTCTCTTATTTTAAAAATTTATATAATTTTATAAAATTAATAGTTATAAAACAAAAAATTTTCTCTATTTTTAAAATTTATTTCCATTCACCTAATTATTGGTTGACTATTAAATCACATATTTGGATAAAAATATATTTAAACATAAATATTTTCTAACAATAAATTTATATTATCTAAAAAAAATCAATCCATATTTTTTTATTCATATTTTAATTTTCTTAATTATGTGAACTTATTTTTTTATTTTTAAAAAATAAAATACATGAATACATTAAAATGATATTTCAACCATATATGGAAAAAATTCAATGAAATGAGAATTTAATGTAATAAGAAATAAATTAGTCAATATAATTGATGTATGCTTTTCTTTAAATTTTATTAATTTGAACACAATATTTTTAAATTATTTATTTAAGTATTACCATAATAATTCAAAGTTGTTTGAATTTGGAAAGAGATTATATAATTAAATTACAAGGGCAAAGTGATAACTTCAATTTGTTAACATGATTATAAAAAAATAAAATATTTTAGAATCTTAATGGAATATTTCTAAAAATGTTAAAAACTAAATTAAAGTACATATTTTGAGAATAAACGATGATATCATGACGTTGGAATTAGACAAATCACAATCATTTTCACATGGAAACTAAGCTGATTTTACTCAGTTATGCTCAGTTGGCTGCCAGTGCCGGTCGTGGGCTCCGACAACGGTGGCGAGTGAAGTTTTTTTAAATGAAGAGTGCTTTAATTATTTACCATCAAAACGTAATTTTAATTTAGTTATTCAATCTTGTGATATTATTCCAAAATTGTTTGATCCTGATTTCAAATTATATTGCTGGTGTAGCCGTTAACCAAAACTCTCCCTCATTCCCCCCCCCCCCCCCCCCCCCAAAAAAAAAGGAAGCAAACCTCGTATAAATAGGGCGCAATTCAACCGCCACTTCGCTACAACAAACTAACAGAAGTAGTCGTAACGTGAGCCTCTAGAATAGCTAAATACAAAACAGATTTTTGGGAAAACATCAACCAAAAGCTTCTGTCAAAAATTTATATCATTCAAAAGCTCATAGATATTAAAATTGTATTGCAATCATTGGACCTTAGATGAAATTATTTTTTATATAAAATGACTGAATTATTCCTAAAATTTAAAATAATTATTCCTACACCCACAAGGTTGCCGAAGCCTGCCTTGCTATTAGCCAGTCATCGAAACTCGGGGGATGAATAATTTTTTCGTGATAATTTATTAACAAATAATTGATAAAGGTGATCAAGTGGGGGGGTTTGATTATTTGACCATTTAAAAAGTTTGGTGACTATCAAGTCCCCTTATTTATATATGACAATACAATACAATATATATATATATATATATATTGTAAAATGTGTCTAATTTACCATAAAATCATTGATTACCGTGATAATTAAGGATAATTGTCATAGTCACCTTACCATGATAAAAAGAAAACCATTATAGTTAGATAACACTAATTGTAATAAAAAAGAAAAGACTCAAGTTCAAGGTCTACATGATAATTTAAAATAAACATAAAATTTATAATAAAATAGTGTAAATACACAAATTATTGGGATTCTAAAATGTCAATTCAAACCAATATTTAACAAACACATGAACAAGTATATATCAGAGTTGCAAGCTTTTAGAAGCATAAGATATTGATCTATACAAAAACTTAGTTTAAAAGAGGGATAAAAATGACATCTTTTAATCATAGGATGGTCCGTCGTGGCTTACATATATCTTGTCATGCCATGATCTTCTCTATATTGTATGTCGTGGTGCAAGCGTCTTACGCAGCAACACATTACACAAGTATCGAGGACAGCATAGTGCTATCACATAAACAAACTTTTAGGAGTGAACATCCATCACACCTCTAACCAACATCAATAAGGGTATGCAAAGAGAGCACTATGGAGATCACAACAAGAGAATAAGCACACTATTATAATATACTAATATCACATCTCATGATACAAATAAATGCATGATCTTAACTCCTTATCTCCTCCTTATACTACCGACTGAATTTGTGAGTTGATAATTTCATAGGACTAAGTCTATATGACTGGACTAGCTTAATCTCTCCAACCATGGGGAGATGCTTAGCCAAAGATTCCTCACTTTATCTTAAACCATGGATTCCCCTGCTTCATGAATCTATTAGGGTGTCACAATACTTAGTACCACACCTAATCCAAGGTGATATAAAAGGGCAACAAGTTAAGGCACCTATGCTTATACTCAGTGCAAAGTGAGATTCAAGAATACCTCACCATGCTCACTACACCTGATCTAAGGTGAGTTTATATAGTTTCACATGAAAAGAAATTACTACTCCACCTAAGGCATCCTCCTATCTAAACCATGATCATGCTAATATATATAGTTTATTGTCATGCAACTCTTCAACACAATTAAACTCAAACTTGCATAAAGTGTTATAATCAACAATTGCAAGCATGCATTAACAATTTACCTTTCGTTAGTGTAATATCTACATAAGATCATTATAAACCAGTGAACAATATAACATTTTTGGTATATCAAACTTTGATTGGAAATAAGGAAAATCCTCTTGCATATATTTACTAAAACTATAACCAAATTTATAATTCACTAGGTTCATATTAAATCATTAATGAAACATCCTAAATTAATCTAATATACAATAGCATAGATTCTTTCGGTTACTTCAAACCTTTGAGAAATTAAAGGTTACTCTTATACTAAAGGCTTATCAAACAATATTTGAACTCTATAATCCATAACAACAATTAAGTGACCAACAAATATAATACTTCCAGCTCTCAATTATTCACTTTAAATACCAATAATTTCAACCACAAGTGTAATTTCAATTTCAATTAGTTTATTAGCTCCCATTAACTCTATATAGCTCTCAAAAATTTAAATAGCAATGATTATAATAGCCTATAGCTCAAATTCTTTCTCAAAGAGCTTAAGGTTTGCTTGAAGTCAAAAATATTGGACCTAAAGCTCAGCCCATCCAAAAACAATGTTCAAGGAGTGAAAACTAACAATTAATAATCTTATTTAACTCTAATAATTCATCCAACAATAACCTAAAGTCTAGAGATCATTATAGGGTTTTGATTTGAGGAAGAATATTAAAACCTAACTTAAAATCTAGATCAAATGGAAGAGGAATGGTGTGGGAACTTACCTCAAGTGATTGCTATTTTAAAAACGTCCTAAATCTACTACACAAGTTTACCCTGGCAGAGCCTTTGATGACTTCTTTGACTCCTTCTCTCTTCCTTTTTGTTTTCTACAGATTTCAGGCCTTATAACATATTTCAAAAGCTTTGTTTGTGTGTGGTCACAACCTTTACAATTATATCCATGTGCAGATAGAGTTTAAGAAATGAAATGTTGTGTTTGATCTTTATCTGCATGGTAGGTTCATCCACGAGTGAATGAGGTTCCTTTCTCCTAAATCTTCACATTTTAAGCCCTTTCATCCCAAAAAGCTTCCGTGCCCTATCCTAAGGTTGTAATCGAGAATAATTAGGTCTGATAGTCCATTCTAATTGTCCCCAAACTAATAAACTGTCATATTAATCTCAATCACCCATAATTATTTTCTTCAGTTTAGGAATTAAAATTCAAGATATTAAAATATAGTGGCCCATATTTTTAACTGAGTTGCTATAAGTATCCATTCAGATTTTAACAACAACACATTTAAAATTAACAATAATCCATTTGGGCTTTAACAAATTAAAAAAAACTGATATGATAGACTTAATTGTATAAATGTTAATCATTCATCAATAAGTATCAATTTAGGTTTTAATAACAACTCATTTGAGATTAATAATAATTTGTTTAAGTTTTAACAAGATAGAAAAACTAATAGGATGAGCTTAATTGTTTAGGTGTTGGTCCTTTATCAACAGTATTTATTCAAGTTTTAACAATGCATTCAAAATTAACAAGAATCTATTCAGGTTTTAGCAAGTTAGAAAATTTAATATGATATACTTAATTATACAAGTATTAGTGATTTATCGACAAGTATCCATTTAGATTTTGATAATAACTCATTTGAAATTAATAATAATCTATTTGAGTTTTAATAAGATAGAAAAATTAATAGGATGTGCTTAATTGTTTAGGTGTTAATCCTTTATCTATTTGTTTTAACAACAATTCATTTGAAATTAACAGCAATTCATTTGAGTTTTAACAAGTTAGAAAAACTGATAGGATGAACTTAATTATACGAGTGTTAGTCCTTTATTAACAAGCATCCATTCAAATTTTGATAATAACTCATTCAAAATTAACAACAATCTATTCATTCTTGAACAAGTTAAAAAAACTGATAAAATGTGTTTAATTGTATAAGTATTAGTTTTTTATCAACAAATATTCATTTAAATTTTGACAACAATTCATTTAAAATTAACAATAGTTCATTCGGTCTTCAACAAGTTAGAAAAACTGATAGGATGTGCTTAATTGAACAATTATTAGTTCTTTATCAGTAAATATCTATTCAAGTTTTGACAACAATTCATTCTAAATGAACAATAATTTATGTGGTCTTTAACAAGTTAGAAAATTGATAGGATGAGCTTTATTATACAAGTATTTGTTCTTTATCAACAAATATCCATTTATATTTTGACAACAATCTATTCATTCTTTAATAAGTTAGAAAAATTGACAGTATAGGTCTAATAAAATATGTTTTATCTTGCATAAACAACAAGCTATTTGAGTTTTGACAATAATCATTTCATGATTAACAAGTTGTTTGTTCCATTAGACCTTCACTGTCAATTTCTATAACTTGTTAAAGTCTGAGTGGGTTGTTAGTAATTTGAATGAATTATTGTAAAAATATGAATAGATATTTATTAATGAAAGACTTATACTTGTACAATTAAGTCTATCATATTAATTTTTCTAACTTGTTAAAATTCGAATAGATTGTTATTAATTTTGGTTGTGTTGTTATTAAAACACGAGTGAATATTTATTGATGAAAAACTTATACTTATAAAAGCTGGGGTTATTACATTTTTTTTTTTGTCATGTATAATTAAGAGGACTTGATAGCTTAATGGTCATCTACCTTTTTAGGTGACTAAAGGGTCACCAATTCAATAAGGGTGATAGTAAGGGTGATTTTTTTTAAATTAGTTTCAATTTTAAAGACAATTCAATAAATTTACATAAAAATTAATTTCATATAAAAATTAATCAGTGTAATTTTAAAATTTATTAATTCTTGAATAAAATAAATTTCTTTTAACAATCCTTGGTTAATATTTTTTTCAGATTTTGTTTTTCGAACAAAAAAAGAATGAGTACTCTAGACCCTTTTTTTTGGGGGCCTAAGCAGAAGCAGTAGACGCTACTTGCCTAGTTGGACATGGTCAAGCTCGGAGCCTCGGGCACTTTATTTTAACGGTAATGCTTTCACTTCACCGGCGGATTATAACTTCTAACGATTTTAATGACTGAAGTTTTGATAACTACGAAATTTATGTTTGGAGAATTTTCACAAAAGGGCTTTAACAATTATATGATTAATGATTGGAAAAGTTAATGAAAAAAAGATTAAAAGGCAAAAATATTGAAACTTTTTTTTTTTAAGAGAGTCTGTTACCTTAAACATTTTTTTTGAAGTATTTTTGATTAAACATTTCAAAAAAAAACATTTTTATCTCATTTTTAAATATAAAAAATGTTAACCGTTAACTAAAATTTTATCAGGGTATTTTATTATTCTAGCCTCCTTTGTTTTTGCATTTTTTAATCTTCATTTTTATTTGTTGGAGAAAGAAAAGTTAGAGAATTTATTAAAAAATGAAATCAAAGACTAAACATAGAAGAAAAGAGAAAAAAATGAAAAAATATTTTTGCTCAAACTTCAATTTAACAGTTAACATTTTTCATATTTAAAATTCATGCGATGAAATGCTCTCTTCTTAAAATTTGAGGCAAAAATATTTTAAAAAAATCTAAACAGTAGGCACATCTAAAAAAAAAAATCAAGACATTTCACCCTAAAAAAAAGTACTTAAAAAATTAGGAGGAAGGTAGTGTTCATATGTTTGTGGGTTTGTTTTTTGTACTCATCACAGTGACAAGCACCATGGTGCTCATTATTATGATAAAATTTGGATCATCTAAATTTTAATTTGAATAGTCCAAATTTAAAGTACTATTATATATTTTTATTTTATATTTATTACAATAAAAATTATAAAATAATTTTTAATATGATCAATAAAATTTTTTATTTTAATAATTTATTAATTTAATAAATTAATAATTTTATATTTATTTTTACTGTAAAATAATCATATTAAAAATAAAAAATTTTAAAAATTATTTTATAATTTTTATGGTAATAAATATGAAATATAATAAATTTTAATTTTAATAATTTAAATTAATATCTGAATGATTCAAGTTCCAATACAGTGTTGAGTATCATAATACTCATTACTATGCTGAGTACTGAAATCAAGTTAGGCACAACCCACTTCAATGCGATGCACCTAAACATTTCAGGGTGGGATGCGATTAGGTACAATGCCGGGGCACCTAATTCGTTGCGCATTTCCACGCCTTTCTCCTTCTCCACCAACAAACACATTAGCATATTGGATCTGGAATAAAGCCGAAGCCATTACTTTAAGCCACCAACATGATCACGGATCCTCTCATCAGTGACGAATTTTGGAATCACTCTGCTCGGATTTTCTTGGCATATGCAAGTCCTGAGAATTATGCCTCATTTTTCATTCCAATTTAATTATACTCATCAACTGTGATACAATACATGAATACAGCTATGATTGTTGCTGGTGTTAAAAAAAAACAAAATGTTCAAAGCCCAAGGAATCAATTTATTTGTTTGATTAAAAATATAAAATATGCTTTCACGTGGGATGAGACGAGAATCATCATGAGATCAAGATGTTATTTATGTTTTGAATGAGATAAAATATACTTTTAATCCTCTAACCTTATATAAAATTTTAATTTAATTTTTTATTTTTGTAAAGGATATTTTTAATTCTTTAATCTTAATGTCGTTAGTTTTAAATGATTATTTTTTGTCTCAATCATCATTATTTTTTTAAAAAATTAAATTTAATATGTTAAAATTTAAAAATTTTTGTTAATATTTAAAAATTTAATGTAAAATTTTTTTAAGATAAAACTAATAATTTTAGGATTAAATAATTTTTAAAAAAATTATAAAATTAAGAGATTAAAATAAATTTATATTGACAAATTAATTATATACTTCAACTTTTTGAATTTAATTGAATTCAAGCGACAATAATGAAGCAGGATGTAGAGGGTCAGGTCAAACTTCAACTTGGAGCTATTACATAAAAATGTCATCAAATCATCAATAATTGTAATGTTAAATATAGCGAGTAGCAGTTAAGCAATTATCAGGTAAATAGAATCGTATCATATTATAAAAAATATAATTTTTAATCTCTGTAATTTTATCAAGTTTTACTTTTAATTTTTATAATTTTTTAATCCCTAAAAAAATTAAAATTATTAACAAATAAAATAATAGAATTTTAAAAAATAAAAACCACCCAATCTCTTTAAAATTATAAAACTGAAAACATTAAAAAAATTATAAAAAATTAAAAATAAAATTCAATAAAATTATAAAGATTATAAATTATGTTTTTTTGATATTATATATAAGATTGTAGACTAATGATGGGTGGGTTTGTGGGTAACTGGGAATATGGGCGGGCCCGGCTTTTAAGGGCCTGGGCTCTAAAGTTTAATTTTTTATTTTGAATCTCATTTCTCAAATTCGGTCCTTATGTGAAGGGTTTAGGGTCGAGCCCGCAAGTACTTTTTTAAAAAAATAAAAATAATAAAAATAAAATTATAAATTATAAATTAATTAAAATATTGTAAAATTAAAAAAAATAAAATTCTCATAATTTTTTAAAAATTAAACAACACACATTTAGAAGTCTAGTAATAAAATTTAAATCTTGGTTAAAAAATTCACTTTTATAAATATACAAACATAATAATTATACAAAATAAAAAATATCAGAAATTTTATATATACACTAATATTTATTAAATTATATTAAATTAATTTTAGAATAAATTAAAATTAATAATAATATAATGCATGTAAGATCAGGTGAGTAGGTCATTGGCTTCAAACACGTGTTCTACTAAAGAAAATAATAATAATAATAATAATAATATAACAGGACTTGAAGGGTTACTCGAGCCCGAACCTTTTTTTACCGAGCTTATCAGGACTAAATTCTCAAACCCGATTACTTTAAAAAAATTATTTTTAAAACTCAAATTTTTATTTAAACAGAACTTCAAACCCAATCTCTTAAATTCAGCCCTGTTTCCAACTCTATCAGTGCGAGCACCCAGGGAAAGGATATTCGCGTAGCGTAGGGATAAAAAAAAAAAAAAAAAATCCGAATGCCTTGTTTATTGCTTCATACAAAAGCAAACGCGACGCAACAAGGACGGGCGAAGCGAGGAGTAGAAGCAGCAAACAGCACGTCGATGACGACGAAACCGCACACAAGAGAGCAGAGCAGAGAGATGGAGGAGATCCTTCGGAATAACCACTACGAATTGTGCGATGAGATCGGACGTGGCAGATTCGGCGTCATCTTCCGCTGCATTCACCTTCTCTCCGGTCAGCTCTATGCCTGCAAACTCATCGACAAGCGCCTCCTATCCGATCCCACCGATCGCTCTTGCCTAGACAACGAGCCCAAATACATGTCTCTCCTCTCTTCTCACCCCAACATTCTTCAGATCTTCGACGTCTTCCACCACGACCACTTCCTGTCCATCGTCCTCGAGCTCTGTCACCCCCACACCCTCCTCAACCGCATCATCGCTCGCCCCTTCCCAGAGACGGAAGCCGTTTCTATCATGAAGCAGCTCCTCGAAGCCCTAGCTCACTGCCACCGACTCGGCATAGCCCACAGAGACATTAAGCCCGACAATCTCTTGTTTAATTCCGCCAATAATCTCAAGGTTGCCGACTTTGGGTCCGCACAGTGGTTCGGCGACGGAAGAAGCATGAGAGGAGTGGTCGGCACGCCTTACTATGTAGCGCCGGAGGTATTACTGGGCAGAGACTACAATGAGAAAGTAGATGTGTGGAGCAGCGGCGTGGTTTTGTACATAATGTTGGCCGGGGTTCCTCCCTTCCACGGGGAATCGGCGGCCGAGATATTCGAGGTTGTGGTCAGGGCGAATCTGAGGTTCCCTTCCGGGACTTTCAGGTCCGTGTCTCCCTCTGCTAAGGATCTCCTCAGGAAGATGATCTGCAGGGATGTTTCCAGGAGATTATCGGCAGAGCAGGCCCTGGGTGCTTTTACGACTCTCTGTTTCCTGTTTTTCAATTCTGAGTTTCTTTCCGATAAGAGAGAGAGAGAAAGAGAGAGAGAGAGAGGACTGTGTATTGGTTTGAAGCCTAATACGCGTAATTGTACAGGGCATCCATGGATCCAGAGCGGAGGAGAGAAGACGGATCTGACGTGAACAGACAGAGAGTGACTGGTAGATGATCCGAGCATACCATATGTCCACTTTTGGCGCCTGTACAGGCGTTTTCTGTCGCAGCAACGAAAATCCTTTTCTTTCTCTGACGCTGCAGATATATGAACATGATGGCATACTGCTGAGAATCGCCTTCCTCCACCATCTGGTTCCTCTGTTTTTTTTTTTTTTCCCTCCGGTTTCGCATAGTGATGGGAAGTGAGGAACTGAGGGAGTGTAGCGAAATCTAAATACGCATCCGCCGTTAGTTTCTTTGAGTTTTTTTTTTTGGTGGATGAATGACAATGAAAAGTGTTTGGAATGTAAATTAGTAAAATAGTTATGATCTGAAGTAATTTTGAAGTGCATAATATTTTCAATTTCTGGGTCACTCGTGCTTTGCACAACGGGCACGGCGTGATTTTGAGCGTCGAGTAAAGTGGAATTCAGTTTTTTTTTTTTTTTTGAGCTTCGGTTTTTCGAATTTCGGATCAACTTTTACTGGAAAACTAATTAACGATAGCTAGCGATGATAATGTAAACATGATTCTCTCTCTGCATTCACGGTGGGTTATAGTAGATGGCAAAAACTAAATCATAATGATGATAAGAATGATGGCGTGACATAATCAAAGAAGGGCGGGCAGCTCAAGAAATTCAACTCTTGATCACAAGAGTATTGCAAGGCTGTAAATGAAGTGATGAAAAAATCTGAGAAATTGGGAGGGGGAGGCCACTGCTGTTGACGTCCAATTGGAGTGGGGACACTTGTAGGCCACAGTGCTGTGATGATGAATGTGATAGGCACGCGGGCGTATCAAGGGTTTACACGCGCATGTCACTGAGTAGTACTAAGAAAACTCTAAGGTCTAACCCTATGGGTCGCAGTTTGATAGGTTATCCCATCGCCACGTCACGACACGAAGAGCAGTTGAATTCAAAGTCCAAACATCACAAACCAAGATGCAACGGCTTCTAATCAAACACCAAATAATTAAATATGTCCGCTGCAGTTTATTGATTTATAGTCTTTGTTCTTCCATGTAGTAATTTTTTTTGCCGGTCCGTAATGAATACTCTTTACAACTATAGATTATCAATAAAAAAATATAAACTTTACAAATTTAAATCCTCTGAAATTGAAATTTCACTGAAATTTATGTATTTCAATTTTAAAGGATTCAAATCCAAACTTCACACCCTCTCCTTGTCTTAATTTTCATAATTTGTGCAATACCTTCTCCTTTTATGACCCAAAAAAATGTTTTACTTTTAGAGAAAATATTAGTGTCTATAAATGTTATATAAAACAAATTATTTATGAGATTTGGTGGCATAAAATCATATTGGTGGCATAAAATCATATAGTCTGTGCGGGTGGGTACTATTCCACACACACACACACACAGCATTATTGTTTATTGGGTTGGGTTAAGATGAGAAGACATCATGAAAGATTCTAAAGTCGGGGTGCAGATGCAATTCAAATTCCGGTTTCTTTGGTATATTCCGCCGGAAGAAAGAGCCGCAGATTGAGGGCTAACCTTGTACGGCTGGAAAGATTCTGTGCTACTTAGATTTTAAATTTATGCAAAACTCAAATTCAATACTTAAACAGCAATAATTGTGTCGAATGCTTTGATTCTAAACCAACCACATGTCCCAACTGCCCGGCCCCAGCTGCCTGCTCACTCCCCAAAGTGCTTATCTGTCGGGTTATCCAAAGTCGTTAATTTATTGTCATCTTCATTTATTAATATTTTACTCATTATGGCCCTATTTGCATGATTTTAATTCATTTTACACTTGTCATGCAACACATTTGAAGGCAATCACTCGTATATATGTTGCATAACTTGAGTTTTGATTTCATTCCACACCTATATTTCCCCAAATGTATCCTCCAACACACCTAATTGGTTCGATTTAGTTGCTATTACTAATGCGTCATTCTAATTTGATAATTGCAAGTCCCATAAAAAAAAATACCAGAATAAACACAAACTTTACAGTGGAGTCAATTAATCGTCAAGCCAGTGAAGGCTTCATCATCTTACTTTCTAAAGCAAATATCCCGCCTACCCAGACACTGGTTTCGGATATATTATTCTATTTGCTCAGTTTTACTGCTTTATATTTCACATAAAGATTACTTATTCGTTGCAACTTTTATGATTTCTTCTCCAGCTATGGTGGTTGGAGTTTCAACTACTCTTATCTTCCCGAAGTTGTCGCATGTGGTAGTAATTGTCCTTATTGGTCTCGGCGTTATTGGCCTGCTATTGGCGTTGTGCCAAGTTTCCTTCAGAGATTCCAAGAAGCTGGTCTACATGGAGTGCCTCGTGCATGGAAGGTTGACATCAAGTTTTCATGTTGTGTCCACTGCGTGGGTTGTGTATTTCAATCCACTGTTTACTTTTCATCGATGTTTTTTTCATTTTCAGGGTTTTTCTTCTGTCTGCGCCCATCCTTTCATTCCTTTGTTAAGTAATTTTTCATCCTTCCTAATACAGTATATCATGAATCAAAGTGATTGAAAGTTGCGTCAGCCACTCCATGAGAACTAATGACAACTATATTTCTTGACAACTTTTTAAAAAGCAAATTATAAATATTAATTCAATTAATTACAAACAAAAATTTTACCCACAAGTAGATTGGTTAGTTTATTGTCATATTTAAAATTTAAATATTATTTATAATAAAAACTTTTAAATTATTGATATTAATAATTTAATTTATTGATATTTATAACTTAATTTTTTAAAAAATATCAAAGACTTGGCTGTCATTAATCATGACCCGTGTCATTCTCAAATTCTTTCCGGTTTGAGAATACGGTAAGGCCACCGTAGAGGCAATGTAACATATTGACTACCAAGTGATAGATTTAAAATTTCGATCCCCTAACGTGATGGATTTCTCGTCACTCACGAGAACCCCAACCCACCCAAAACGTCCATAAACTGCTATCTCTTCCGAAGGAAAGAATAATATAGTGAGACTGCACCCTAAAAATTCCAAACCAACATATTTCCGGGGGAAAAACAGGAGACTATAATATATCAGAGGATTCTCCCAGAACCGGGTCTGCCAGCCAGATGAATTTGCCGAAAATATGGTAAAAGCGTATAAATGGTTCTCAGCAACATAAGCCGACGTATCCATCTGAACTTGAGAAGCTTATGCTTCAGAACAACATAAACCAAGCACTAGTGTACAAGGAAGACCAGGGGGAGGTTATGGCTTTCGATCTTGAAAACCAACTTCGTGCCAGCAAAAAACAATGGTTCACGTTAGTTCATGATGATGTTATGCCATTTTACAACGCCACCATATCATAGCAGACTAGATGGAAATCAAGTGCTTCAGAACATCACAACAGACGACATGGAACTCAAGTTTCTTTTCCTTGCCAGTACTCAGTTCAAGACCACTCATTTTTGAAGCAACACCAGTTTCCCCCAGAAATTCAATTCAAATTTTTGTACCCAGGAAGGACTGCAAGGCACAATGGGAGAAAGAAGTCAGAAGGGGCTGATGAATCAATCAAATTGAGAATGTGAAGAATTGAAAACATGAATGATAGACCATGCGGCATGAATTAGAGTGATATTTCAGTCAAACAACATTTGAATTATGCGATAAACCAGGAAGACAATCTCTTTGTATTCATCAATTAGGCTTTAACAAGAAATCAATCACAAATTGGGACAGATAAAACTCAACAGCACAATTCGTAACAACAGACAAAATTTTAACTGCAATATAGATCCTCTCCACCTCAAATTCATAAATCATATGCCCAATTCGTAGCATAAGATTCGTACCTATTGATATTGAGCAAATGGCCTAACTTTTTACCTTTATACCTGCTGGAGAACTTCCAGGCTTAGCAGTTGTTGTACTACTTCCAAAATTGATCTTTGGCTTTTTATCCGCTGGCTTTAATATTTGGAAAGAGCACATTAGCGTCTCATCAACACTCATCATAGCACCAGCGTTGTCAAACTCTCCACAATAATTAGGTGCTGAAAATATTGTTACTAGCTGTCGGTCAGCAAAGAACTCATAACCATCCTCCACAACCTGCTAGCCACAAATGGAAAAACAAAACTAAATTTTAATTAAAACCTAATGTCTCCAATCTAAACACAAACCTTGTACACCATGAATCACCCACACCTATGCTAGCGGATGTCATAATTCTTTATTCGTAGAAATAGGGGGATATAAAATTAAATGCTGAAGAATTGACAACACACTGAACAGCAAAAGGGCTGGAGTTTAACCTGATGAGCACGACAAATAAGATCCAGATCTTGTTTCTGAAGAAATTCTGACACCTTATCAGCACCAAATGTATATGAAACTCCCCTGTCATTCATTCCCCATCCTTGAACATCTTTGCTCGGGTCTGACCAAAGAAGATCACAAAGCAAACCTGTATCTGGTACATCAGTTGGACGCTGCAGATTTCTGATGTGATCCAAATTATGCAAGTCAGGAGAAAGTCCCCCATGCATACACAGAATCTTTTCATCAATAAGGGCTGCCACAGGTAGGCAGTTGAAACACTCAGTAAATGTCTTCCATAACCTTACATTGAACCTTCTCTTACACTCATCATAAAATCCATATATGCGGTTTATAGAAGCACATTCATGGTTCCCCCTCAACAGGAAAAAGTTTTCAGGATATTTTATTTTGTAAGCAAGAAGAAGGCATATTGTTTCCAAACTCTGCTTCCCTCGGTCCACATAATCCCCTAAAAATAAATAGTTGGCATGCGGAGGTAATCCACCATACTCAAATAGACGCAAAAGATCAGAATATTGACCATGTACATCGCCTGAAACATAAATATCAGGATATTCAGAAACCATTGTATAAACATTATGAATGTGATTTTTTTTTTTTTTTGTAAACAGCAAGACAGCAAGACAGTGCTTAAGTTGAGAAAAATTAGAACATAACACATCATTATCAACAGTTTTTTCCCCAACTGATAAGAGGGTTAGCTAGTTGAGCATTGACTGGAGCATGGATAAAGCTATATGAACAGACAAGCTCAGCTCAACAAATGACCTTTATATGATGGGGAAATTTTATAAAATAGCAGATATATCATCATCGAAACAGGAATATTTGTAGTGAAGCTTGATACAGTAAAAGAAACGACTGCAAGATATCATCCTTTAAACAAGGTTCTCGTTAACATGTAAGTATAATATCATGGACAGGACTGCTGCCATATGATGATAAAAACACTGGATATAGCTTCTCCTGGACAAAACTTATGTCTCCTTCAGAGACGCTCAAAACTACTAGGTCATTCAACCATTCCATATTATTGAAAAAACTTTATCAAATACTAAAATTTGCATAGTCTTGTATCAGAAAGGCTGTTTTCTATTATAATTCAGCTGGAGACTTTGAGAACTTCAATTATAGGTCCAATCTAGAGTGAAGAATTCTGGAACAAAACCTTAAGGATCACATGATGTTATGATTTTATAAAATGACAGTAGTTAGTTGTACAGCCATTAATATGTGTGGCCGTTAGTAGCCATTGGGTATTATTCCTATTCCTATAAATACCCTACAACTCCAATTGTAAACTCTATGATTGATCAATGTCAAAGCTTGCGCACTGTTCAGCATATCCTCTCTTCTATCTCTCTAATCCCTCTTAATTTCTCTTTACCTCTCCTACCTTCTCTGTTCTTCTCTCAATTCCCTCTATTCTTCTCTAATCTCTATCACCCATAATTATTCTCAAAAATCAGTGGTATTAGAGCAGCTGCTCCTCAACCATCCCCTCTTCTCTCATGCATCTTGACAGTATGGTTCAGACTAGAAACCAGATCAAACAAGAAATGGAAGAACGTGCAGCCAACTTGAAGAAAACTTTGGTAAAGTAGATACCTTGGCCGAACTAGTTGAGGGTGTTGTGAAACAGCTGCAAATGCTCATGCGTGAGTGTGAGATTGAGCGTGACTGTGATTTGGGTAACAATGGGGATGGACACAATGGTCACCATCGTAATTGTGAGTAAGATTTTGAGAATTAGCGTCACCACTAGGGCCACAAGCGAAATAGGTATCAACAACCAACTCAATTCACCAAAATGGACTTTCCTAAGTTCACACGGGAAGATGTCAACAGCTAGATATTGAAATGCGAGCACTACGTCGAGCTCAATGAAACCCCCCAAGAGTCGAAGGTCAAGATTGCTAGCATGCATCTTGACTCAAAAGCATCATAGTGGCATGTTGCATATGAAAAGTCATGGGAAGGGGTGCAACCCCCTTAGGCAGAGTATATCGACGAACTTAAAGATCATCTTGGCCCTATACACAAGACACCCATGGGGTGATTTGGCGAGCTTCAAGCATCGAGGGGCATTGGCTAACTACAACGATGAATTTGACACCATTTCTTGTAAACTTAGTTCATTTGAGATAGAATACTTGGGGCATTTAATTGGAGATGGCAAAGCTAGAAAAGATCCTAAGAAGATTACAAGCAGTAGTTGATTGGCCTGAACCACAAAATATTAAGCAATTAAGGCCATTCTTAGGTCTAGCAGGATATTACAAGCTCTTCATCAAAAGTTACGAGATTATAACCAAGCCCTTAACCCTTGTCCTCAAGAAGAATGGATTTGAATGGTCGCAGACAGCTACTGAAGCATTCAACAAACTCAAAGAAGTTATGATTTCTGCACCTGTACTCACAATTCCGGATTTTTCAAAACAATTTATAGTGGAGGCAGATGTTGAGTGGGTTTGGGGGATGTTCTAATGCAAGAAGGTCAATCAATCGCTTATTTTAGCAAGAGATTGGCTGAAAGGCATCAAAAGCTCTCAATCTATGAAAAGGAATTGATGGGAGTGGTGCTGACTATGCTTCATTGGCATCGATACTTAGAAAGACAAAGACTTATAATTAGATCAGACCAGCAAAGTTTGAAGTGTTTGCTTGCACAGAAGTTAAAGATGTCTTTTCAGATGTTTGGGATTGCTAAATTGGCAGGATTTGATTATGAAATTCAATACAAGGGGCATGAAAATTCTGCAGTTGATGCTCTTTCTCGAATGCCAAAGCAGCTATTGATGAAGATAGTTTTAGATACTTCTTCCCCAGAGATGCTTGAGAAAGTCAAAGGTAGTTGGCAGAATGATGCTGTAATTGCAAAAATACAGAAGAAGGTTCAAGAGAATAATGGAATTTGGGGCCATTTCTCTTGGGATGGTGACTTGTTGAGGAGGAAGGGGGAGTTAATGATGGGACATGACCCTATCTTGAAGCAGCAAATTCTTGAGTGGCCACAATCCAGTCCTCAAGCAGGACACTCAGGAATTCAGGCTACCTATCATAGGATTAAAGCACTATTTTGGTGGAAAAAGCTTATCAATGATGTAATAGATTTTATCAAACAATGTGATACCTGTACTCGTTGTATGTATGAAGCTATTGCACTCCCTGAACTATTACAACCTCTTCCCATTCCAAGTCGAGTTTGGGAAAATATTACTATAGATTTTATTGAAGGACTTCTTAAATCTCATGGTAAGGACACAATTTGGGTAATAATTGACAAAATGAGCAAGTATGCTCATTTTATACCTCTCACCCATCCTTATTCAGCATCTTCTCTAAAATAGATTTTTATGGATTATGTTCAAAAATTTCATGGTGCACCTGCTGAAATTATAAGTAACCGTGACCCAATCTTTGTGAGTAGTTTTTGGAAGGAATTTTTGCAGATTTTAGGAGTTAAACAGAAACTTTCTATAGCCTGTCACCCTCAAATGGATGGACAATCAGAAGTCTCAAATAGGTGTCTAGAAACCTATCTAAGGTGTATGTACTTGAAAGTTGGAACAACTGAAGGACTGAAGCAAATGGGTGTCGCCAGCTGAATGGTGGTATAATACCACCTTTCATACAGTTACTAAGGTGACTCCACATAAACTTTTGTATGGTCAAAAGGCCCCTATTCACTGTCCTTATTTGCCTAATAGTTCTGTTTTAGATGTTTTAGACAGGTCATTTTCAGTGAGGGAAGCAATGATGGCTGTTTTAAAGCATCATCTACATCGAGCAATCAATTTGATGAAGCAGAAATCTGATTCCCACAAGACAGATCAAGAGTTTACTGTTGGCCAGTGGGTTTTCTTTAAGTTATAGCCCTATAGACAAATTTCTGCAGCTATAAGGAGTACTTAGAAATTGGCTCCTAGAAATTGGCTACAAGTTAGAACTGCCACCAAAATCTAGAATACATCCAACCTTCCATGTTTCTCTACTAAAGCTGTGCCCTGATTCTAAAGTAAAGCAGAGACATCCACCACTTGACTGGCCAGAAATTCCAGCCATAGCAGAACCTAAACAAATTCTGCAGAAAAGAGTGGGTCGAAAAAGGAAGTGAAACATTATTGAAATCTTAGTTAAATGGAAACAATGGAAACAATTGCCAGATGAAGAAGCATCTTGGATGCCTTTGTATCAATTTCAGCAAAAGTTTCCTCAATTTGTTATAAATGATCCTTGAGGGCAAGGATCTTTTTGAGGGGGGTATTGTTCTGATTTTATAATAATGACAATTAGTTGCATAGCCGTTAATATGTGCAGCCGTTAGTAGCCGTTGGGTATTATTCCTATTCCTATAAGTACCCTACAACTCAAATTGTAAACTCTATGATTGATCAGTGTAAAAGCTTGCCCACTATTCAGCATATCCTCTCTTCTATCTCTCTCTAATCTCTCTTAATTTCTCTCTGTCTATCCTATCACGTATAAGGACTGTAAGACAGCAAGCCAAGACTTTCTAGATTAGGATGGCATATCAGCAGCGACAAAGACAAGCCATCCAGGAAAGAGACTCATCTTTTCATCCACCCTATATCTTAAGCAGTTTCATTCTTCAAATAGGATATTATATTCTGCATGCATGTCTTGTCACTAAGTAAATAGCCAAAAACGATTTCCATCGTTGAAGTTGTAAGGTTTCAATGCCCTCCTTACATTTAGTGACCAAGATTGAATAGCTTCGTATAGCTATTATTTCCTCCAAGGAGAAAATCAGGTGTTCAATTTTAGGCATTTAAAAGCAAATAATTCATTCAGGTGAGAACATGTATGAGTCATACGCATAGTCAACACAGTCCTTTCATAATATAATGTACAAAGTGCAATGCAATACAACATAGATCAAAAGAAAGCGGCAAACTTGTTATTTTTTTAGTTTTTATACAGGAAACTTCCATGGCTGACTTATACACTTGCATTTAAACGGCATCAACTCATATATTGATATGAATATGCTATCCGGTTTGGCCCAATGCGTCAATTTACTCTTATTTCTAATAAGGCGCGTCCTATCAAAATTTTAAAATTCCATTTTCAAACTGAAATTTCACCAATTGCACAACTCGTTGCTTCTGTATAGGAGCACCACACCAGCAAGAAGCATGATCTACAAAATCTTCCGGCATCCTTCTTCCTTAAACACAAGTTTTTCAATCAATGATGAATCGAGATGTTAGAAAGCATGATACTAGATTTCATGATTCTTTTAAAGAGTGGGGGATGAAAGCCTGGTAATGAATCAGCCCCACTCGTTATTGATGCTGTGGTCTCTAGATATATCTTTTCCTATTGAAAAGGAGAAGTGTTACACTGAAGAAGCAGGATGCATATACGAGAGAAGAAGACCAAGATGTCAAAGATCGCGTATTAATTTAAAGGACGACCAAAAGGTTCATATCCAAAGCCCAAATGGCAAATACCAAAATATTCCGTCGTTAGAAGTTGACCAAGAAATATGCTACGTCTTCTTACAGATCCTCCGTTGGACTAAGGCGGAATATCACGGGCCTAGCGTAGGAGATGAAGAAGCGAAATATAAAGGGCAGATTAAAGAGATGAAAAAGAAGAGAAGGAAAATACCACAAATCTTAATGGGTGCTTCAAGCTCCAATAAATTAGGCTGTTGCAAGAAAATATCTCTGGAAACAAGGCAAAGCTGACGGATCTCGGACTCCGACAACTGAACCTGCTTGCCCGGACGACCGCGGACTTCAAGGAGGCGATTGATTATGTCATCGAGAATTGATTGGTCCATTGCTTAACCTAAAAGGGAATGCTTCTAGGATAGATGGACGGAACTACGAGGATGACGAGAAATGATAGCAGGGCGACGGCGACGGCGGAACTGTCTAAGACGCTCTGCCAATGCTAACGCTTCCGCAAGCAAGGGTTTGGTTTCAGGATGGGCCAGCCGCGGAGTGTGCCCTGCCGTCTGAATCTACCAAAGCCATGTCTTCAGGCCTAATCTATTTTCTTCTTTTCGTCTTCATCTTCGTCTTTCCTATATTTGTTCAAAATATTAAAATTCGTCTAGACTTTCAATTTGTTAAATAATTAGTCACATTTATAAAATGGTATATTAACCAATTTTCCCCGACTATCGTAACAAAATTTTGGCAGTGCACGCTTCTTTTGGATCGATTTAATTTTTTGAAAAAAGTAATAAAAGTACATTTAAACTGTTGACACTAAATGGGCCTTTCATCAATGCGTTAGAAATTTAAAGGCCCGAAATTTTTTAAAATTGCAATATAGGTGACCTTTAAAAAAAAACTTGGACAGTTGCCCTAATTTAAATTAAAGAAACAATTAATCACTTAATTTTTATAATTTTAAATTAATTATAACTCAATTTTTGAATATTAATTTATTATAATTTAGTTTTTGAAGTTTTAAATTGATTATAAATTAATATTTGAATTTTATCTTTTGTAATTTAATCACTGAAGTTTCAACTTCTTAAATATTGATTCATTTATTTAAAAAAAATAAACATTTTAAAATTTTAATATTTATAAATATTAAAAAGGTTTAACAATTTAAAATATTAGGAATAAATTTTAAAATATTTTGATTTTTTATAATTTTATTTTTTAAAATATAGGGATCAATATTTAAAAAGTTAAAACTTCAACGGTTAAATTGTAAGAGATAAAGTTCAGGGACTAATTTATAACTGAGCAAAATTTTAAGGATTGAGTTATAAACGAATCAAAATTCAAGGACTAAATTATAACTAAGTAAAAACTATATGAATCAAATGATTAATTTTTCTTAAATTAAAATACAGAGTAAAATTGAATTCAAATAAATGACTATTAAATTTAATTTTAAGGTGCCTTTAATTAATTAAAGGTTACAACAACATGGGATGTTTAATTCCATGAACAATTAGTCAAAATTTTAATTTCGATACACATGGAGTAAGTGTAGACGAGTTTTGTAAAACGATAAAGAAGGGAGGAGGGGAAAAGGTAGGAGCTGGGATCAAAATCCAAAATAAGTGGCGGAGATTCGCACGCTAGACCCTACACATTGCTTTGTTTATTTTCCAAAGTAGGAGTACAGCTTTTGCGGCTTTGCATTGCAACTGATGAGCACAGGGTCAGAACAATTCTCACCCTCTATTTCAGTCTAAATTAATTTTTAATATTATATTTATTAATATAAAAAAATTTAATATTAAATCTGAACTATTTAAAATATATTTAAATAATTAATTTATAAAATTTATAAATTTTTTAATATTAAATTATATTATCTAAATTATATCTGAATTATTCAAAATTTATCTGGATAGTAAAATTTTAAAATTATAAAATTTTTTAATATTAAATTAAATTGTTAGATTAAATTTGTATTAATCAAATTGAAGTTCATGATCAAAATTTTGAAAAATTTTTATATTTTTATATTAATAAATGTAATATTAAAAAAATTTAAAATTAATTTAAATAAATGATAAGAATTAATTTGGATTGAAATAAAGGCCATAATTGCTCTTGTCCCTGTGATGAGCACCAAAGGACGCTACGCAGTGCGTTGAGCATGAGGTGTCACGAATTACATATTTGAAAAATAAAAAAGAAAAAGAAATACACGTTGTACGAAATGGAGGGTGGCTTCATGATGATAAGTGATTAAAAATAACAAGGGGCGATGCTCTCTGGCTGAGACAAAAGGAGCATGCGGCGTGGCTCATGTTGGTATCCACGTCTTGCCCCAACAAAAACAAATGCATTCATTTGGGACGGCAATGGGGTGTTATATTTTTCCCCCTTTTTTGAATACAAGCATATAATATATTGTGCAAAAGAAAAGTAATCATGTTTACACACCCAAGAGATCCACGGATGATTGAAAATCATAAAGTCTCAGTGGTTATTAGATGCCCAATAGGTAAATAAATTAGCACATCTATTTATTTATCTAAACACATGATTGAATATAATTGTCCATTTATGAATGAAAAGATCTCCAATTTTATTGATTATTTTTGAGTGAAAGTGACTATAAGAGAAATTGCATTGAACAAGCAAGAGGGTTTCCATGGAGGCAAAATATCTAATAATTATTCTTCACAAGTTGACTAGTTTGAGTTAAGACTTCGTTTTAGATCCAAACATTAAGTTTAAGGTTGTTGTTCTAATGGAAATTAAGACTTTCAAAAATATCTTAGAGTTTAGCTATTGTACTGGAATAATAGTCAAAATACTTGAATAATCATTTAATTTAGTTGTCTTTATGATCATGAATGATGCTCTTACAAACAACACCACCACCATTAATGTCAATTATAATGCCAAAGTTGAGTTTGACCCATCCTTTGTATGGGGGCTTTATTTAGCTTTGGATCTGGTTTTGCTCTTCTTCAAGTGACTAGGACTTTCAAATGGGGTGCTATTCTTGGACATCAGCCAAAATATCTCACAACTCCCGTTTCTATACGTTCTAAAAAATTTTTTAATATTTTTTATTAATCATTTTATAGACTGGTTGGAGTATTAAACATGCCTTCCAAACGTACCTTATGCTAGAAAATGTAATGTAGAGGTAATAAGGGAAGGTAGAAATTAATACAATAGTGAATAGAGCAAGTAATTTGGGCTGAGCCCGATGGACTAGTCTGAATTAGCCCGAAAAATTTTAGGGTCAGGCTTTAAAAAAGAAATATTTTTTTATGTTTGGGCCTATTCAGGCCGGCCCGAATAGGCCCGACAAAATTCGGGCCAAGTCCGATTGGGTTCGGGCTTGGCTCGAATACCTGAATAATTTTTTTTATTTTTAAAAATATATAATATATAATAAATATTAATTAATTTTTTAATTTTTAGGTTATTTTATACTAAAATATCATATATTTGAGTCCTAAACATCATTTAAGTATTAAAAATATATATTTTATATTTTTTTATAAAATAAAATAATTAATTTTAAAGTAAAAAATTTAATTAAAAAAATTTTAAAAATAAAATTCAGGTATTCGGGCTGCCCGAAACTCGAAGGAATTCAGGCCAGGCTTGGCCATTCGAGTTTTTTAAAAAAACGGGCCTGTTCGGGTTCGGGCCGGACCGAATAGGCCCAACCCGCCTGAATTCCCAGCTCTAATAGTGAATTTAGTATAATTAGTAACAATAACGTTAAAAATCAATTTAATGTTATGGCAATTTTAATATTTTATACATGGATAAGGACTGACAGGTGCATATCCTCTTCAAATCTGCTTTTTCTTTTTTTTTTTTCTTATCCTCATCTCATTCCTACCTTTAAATAATGAAACAAAAAGTTTAGATTTAATTGTTTTATAAAACAATTATCACTTTAAAAAGAAATAAATTTAACTGGTTAAAGTTTGACCTACACAATTTGCACTTGTATACCATTATTGAAATTTTGTATAAATTAAAATTTTTCATTTATTTGTTTTATTACAGTTACAAATTGTACAGGTTAAATTTTATTAACTTAAAATTATTTATTTATTTTATTGAGGAGCACTTGATTTAATTGACCCAGAGAATTGAGCTAACTTATTCTATAATTTTGAGTTTGAGTCTGAAAATATAAAATCATATTAAATAAATGTGGTAAAAAGTATCTCCAAGATACCCATAAGGTTGATGTTGGTAGTTACGGTGCCCTATAAATGAGGTTCAAATTAGTCTATGGTCCTGAGCATTCCATATCTAATGTAAGTGTAGAGGCAAGATGAGGAGAAGAGGGAAAAATTTAAAAAAAGAACAATGCACAGGGGATGAGATTGGGAGGGGTGGGTTTTTTTTCTATTATTTTTTCTTTTTACTATCCCTCCACTAAAAATTTGAATTGTTTAAATTAAATCTATATTTTTAAAAATTGTTAAATTTAAACCACCAAATTTAATTTAACGTTCAAATGTCTGGTGATTTATCCTCAGCTTTCCTATGCTCTACATAGAAAGAAGCCAACTTAAATTTAAAGAGGATCAGCTTCCATCACAGAATACGAGCACTCCGTAATGAGTAAATTGTCTGCTTTCTAACTTGACCACACACCTGACTTGGGCTTTTACGGTTTTACTATAGTAGTTTGCCTCTTGCCTCAGTTTTATGATTTCTCTTCATCTGTTACAGGACCTGAAATCTTCATTAGATTCCCATCTGAACAAATATCAATCAAATATATAATTCAAAATTGCAAATAAGCAATGCAAGAGTGCATATGATGGGTCGGGTTCAAAATTTTGTCGGAATGCAAGTTCTCCTAGAGTTGTGCTCCATTAAGAATATTCATTACTCCGTCTCTCCCTTCCTTTTTATATAAAAAGGGAGGTCTTGTTTGAACATTCAACCAAAATTCATGCTTTTGCTTGAGATGGTAATTCAAGATTTCGCCTAAGTCCCTTTTCTTCTTAGAGGTAGCCAGTCAAACTAACATGCCTTTGGGGGGCGTTTTTGCAGAAACACCCAATTTCAAACTTCAAAGTCTCCGTCGCCGAAGCAGAGGCCAAAAAGTCTTGGCATTCATAACATTATATGTGGCAGTGGATTCCTTTAAGGTGTGTTTAGTTGGAAGGTTTTGGAGGGGAGGGAACATGCTCTTCCCCCCTCGTTTGGATTAGAAAATTTGGAGGGGAAGGGAGCAAAACAATTCTCCTCCCTCCCCTCATATTACTCCCCTCTAATTTAAAATTTTTTAAAGAAGGGCTAAAATTTTTAATCATCTTAGCCTTGATAACTCATCTCTTTACAAGCACTCTTTCCCTTTGTTGTTTGAGTTGTAGTCCACTGTGACAATTATAACTCAACTAATAACAATCATTCATATTTTTTATAAACTCATTGATTGAAACAGAACTGGAGATTTAAATACGGTACCTTGGTTTGGCCGGGGGGGGAGAGCATGATAAATCTGATGGAGGGTGTTGTCGTGACTTGAGAAGACGCAGCAATCTAATAGAGTGAGTGAAGGGAGAGAGCAAGAACGAGAGCAAGAACGAGAGCAAGGGAGCAAGGGCAAGAGAGCGAGGAGCAAAGAGTGGCTGGGTTGAGAGAGACACGGAATGAATGATTGAGGAAAGAGATGCGAAGAAGAGACTGGCTTCGCAAACCACTTTTGCCTCATATTTTAAGAAATATTAAAATATTAAAATTAATTTAAAAATTAACAAATAAAATAATTTAATTCTAAATTTAGAAAAGAAAAGGCTGTGCAATTTGGGTTAAGTTATAAAATTAATTTACAAAAGGAATAACTAAGAAACATAAAATTTAGATACAAGGGTATAATAGTAAATTAGTAAATACTTTCCACCCTTCCCCTCTTAAATCAAATAACAAATCATTAAAAATTATTCCCTCCCTTTCAATAAAATTAAATAAAATAATATTAAAACTTTTTGCGCGAACCAAACACAGCCTAAATTACCAAAGCATGTAACAATGACCATATAATTGATCAACCACTGCCTCAGACCTGCACTCGATGAGAACGTACGGGGCATTTTCTGTCATTTATTTTTCCCACCATAATCTTTTATCATGACTTCACAGACGCCTTATGATCTTTCAATGTCAATAAAAGACACACATAAACCTTTCCCTCAGTAGCTTACGGTTTAAACAAGAAATGAGTAGTAGCGGCCAGCATTGAGAAAACGGCCTGAAGAACTAATTTTCGAAAGAGCCATTTCTGGGCACCCTTCCCGGCCACATAGCATTCCGAGAACGAGAATGAGAATCAGCAACAAAAACAGGACTACTAGACGATGCAAAAAGAGCTGCAGAGGAACACCAAAAGAGAGCTGATAATAATGAAAGAGGGTCAAAGCCTAAAATAAGGGAGTGCAGGGCGGCCAAATTGAGTTGTAATAGGTAACTTAATCCCTGACCCGTGTCTGGGTGTAAAGGGCTGGAGTGGTCTCCAAAAGCAACTCCTTGATGGGAGCATAAACCAGGTCACAAGGTTGGAGATGAGTGCTGAAGAAGCACGCCACCGATGTTCTCGGCCCTTCAAGGTTTGCTACCACTCTGTGTGGCACTCTTGAATCTGTCATTAGAAATAAGCTGAAGTACCAAATTCAAAAGTAAATTAAATTTGTCAGCATTTTCAGATAACACTGACGGGGTGGGGAGTGGGCACTTGCCTGAAGGAGGTCTCCCAGATTGATGACCAAGGCTCCCTCCAAGGGCTGAATAGCAGCCCACTCGTTTTGGTAAAGCACTTGGAGACCACCAACGTGATCTTGAAGAAGGATGGTGAAGAAATCAGGGTCCGAGTGTTCTGTGGTTCCCATGGTTCTGTGAGGCTCGGGGCATTGCGGGTAGTAGTGACCAAACAGCACTTGCCCCTTGGCACATTCCATGTCTTCCAAGTGCTTTGGTTTCAGTCCCAAAGCCTGCGAGAGCAACTCCAACAGGTCTAGTCCCAACCTCTTCATATGCTTAGAGTAACCAATCGTGATCTCCCTATAACATGCATCACTTGTAATTAAGACATAAGAGTAGTGTTTCACTCCTCTGGCGACATATATAAAATTAAAGTGGAGTTGAACATATATACCTGCAAGCTGCGGGCAAGTCCTCGGGTCTAGGAGCTTCCGGGGCCATGACAAAGATCAAAGTGTCTCTCCAATTTGCTGCTTCAGACTCTTAGAGATCAAAGTTGCTGACGAATCTGGATTTCCTGGAGATATCCCGGGAGTAATAGCGCTGCTTCACGTGATGGGGCTCGTGGTGAAACCTGCGAACCCCTTCGATCATGTCGTGAAGGACTTGTTTGGGGATCCCGTGATTAACGACCTGAAAAAATCCCCAGGTTTGGGAGGCCGCCTGAATCTGCTCGATAATATGTTTCCGGCGAGAGCATCTTGATGCAGGAGATGAAGGTCGACCACGGGAATCTGAAGGTGGGTGGAAGGGGATTGGGGTGCTGTAGAAGGGAAGGCATGGGAGGGAGTGACAAAGAAGGGAGGGATGGTGGAGATGCCGCAATCAACGAGACCTTTAACCCCAGCTTTAGTGTCGTCGAAGGCTTTCAGCTGTCGTTCCCTTTCACTTCGTGGCAACTCCGTATTATCCGCCATTGTTGCTACTGCTCTGTCTGGTCAAATGAGAAACAAACGGGGCCGCCTCTTATTTCATGGGCAAGGACAAGAAAACGCGCGTGAGGGAAGAGGAAATACCCGTTTGGATTTGATGCCAACAAAAAAAAAAAAAGAATTTGATACTGCAGAAAAATATCCGCTTCTGAAATGTAAGGTTGGGGAGAGCAGACCAGTAAGAAATGGAGAGAGCATTGGGCTTTCTGCTCCTCCAGCAATTCTGTTTGGAGCTTTGGGCGGTTGGGGGGGGGGGGGGGGAACCTTGAAGAAATCATCATTCAAATTCAATTGAGCAACTTCGTCTTTTGTTTGCCGCGCCACTTGGATTTGTCTACCCGCAGTTCATTCTTTACAAGCTCATAAATTTTACCCCCGAAAAAAAAGTTACAAGTTTATTTAATTTAGCTTATTCAATTTTTAATATTGGTTTGATTAATTTTCTATGTTGACTCGATTCTATTTGAATTTTTAAGTACAAAAATTAAATAAACCAAACCAAACCACTTGTGTATGTGTACGTGTATATAATATTTTAATACTTTGCATGTGATATACCAGTTTGATTTGTTGAAAGAAATCTCTCATCATTTTTTTTTTTGCTAAAGGAGTTGATTTAACACAAGACATGGTTTAACATCTATAGATTTGAATCAAATTTAAATATACAAATTTTTATGAATTCAAATGATGAATCTGACACGTTTAAATAAAAATCTCTTTACGTTCGGCACAAACCATGTTCAAAACTCTGGCTAATCGCTTCTTTGATGCAGAAAACATCACTGTTGATGAGTGCATGTCGATTCATGTTGTGCATGTAGGTAAAAATTAATAAATAACCTAAATTTTATCATTAATTATAATATTTTAAAAAATAAATTGTTAAAAAGTGACAATCAGTTTAGAATTTAAATCGAAGTGTTGTATGATTAACATTTATTTAGACACACACTGTCCCTGATTTAACTAACATTTTTATTAATGCTGGTAAAAAAAAAAACAAACAAACATTTTTACTGGCATCTAGAATTGTATGTGGGTTGTCATCTTTGACATCAACCTCGTTCTGAGGTTTACCATGTTATTGAACGGGAGTATAATACTGCAGTATATAATGGCATGACGTAGGCAGTTTTGTCTGCCCCTAGCTTATTAAAAAAAAAAGGGAAAGAAAGAACTGTATCTGCCCTGGCAAGGGAGGCAGGCCCAAAAAATATCTATAACCAGGCAGAGGCAGATAAGGCGAAAGGAGCCAGAGGCGTGGAATGAGAATGGCCACCATGCTTTCGTTCTCCGTAAACACACTGTCTTTCAAGCCCCTCTCCCCCATCCCGCCTTCCTTCGGCAGCGATCGTCGCTCAATCCTGAAACCCGTATCAGCCATTATCAGACCTTCCAATCCTCAACCACAACACCAACAACCATCACAGCTCTATCAACCCTTCAGGCCTCCCCCTTCTCCTCTTCCCTCCCAGTTCGTCTCCCTGGACACTACAGCTCGCCTCGAAATACTTTCCAATCGATTGGGTCTCTGGCATGAGTACGCCCCTCTCATCCCTTCTCTCATCCGAGAAGGCTTTACCCCTCCTTCGATTGAAGAGGCCACCGGCATTTCTGGCGTCGAGCAGAATCGCCTTGCCGTTGCCGCCCAGGTGCGCGATTCCCTTGTTCAATCCAACGCCGACCCTGAAATTCTCTCCGCTTTCGACTTGAGCGGATCCGAATTGCTCTACGAAATCCGGCTTCTCAGTGCATCGCAACGCCTGGCAGCTGCCCGTTACATTGTCGTGAACAAGCTTGATGGTCAGGGGGCTCAAGATCTGGCCCGCGCAATGAAGGATTTCCCTCGCAGGCGGGGTGACAAAGGATGGAAAAGCTTCGATTATACTCTTCCTGGTGATTGTCTGTCTTTCATGTATTATAGGCAGAGTAGGGAACATAGGAACCCATCGGAGCAGAGAACTGCTGCTTTAGAGCAGGCGCTGAGCGTTGCCGAAACCGAAAAGGCAAAAACTGAAATTTTAGAGGAGTTGAAAGGAGAGGCGGGAGAAAAGAAGAAGCAGAGGAGGAAGTCGAACAAGGGGTGCGGGTGCCGGTGGTGAGGTTGAAGATGGGTGAGGTGGCAGAGGCCAGTTCGGTGGCAGTTCTGCCGGTGTGCAGGGCGGAGGAGAGAGAGAAGGAGCTTATGGAGGCGCCGGTGGAATGCACAAGCGAAGGCGAGTTCGGAGTGGTGGTGGCAGAGAAGGGATGGAAGAGATGGGTGGTGCTGCCTGGATGGGAGCCCGTGTTGGCTTTGGGAAAGGGAGGACTAGTGGTATCGTTCGCGGATGCGAGGGTGTTACCGTGGAAGGTGAATAGGTGGTACAAGGAGGAGCCGATATTGGTGGTGGTTGATAGGACTCGGAACAGAGTGGGTGCCGACAGTGGATTCTATTTAGTGGCGGTTGATGATGGCGCCGAGGGCTTCAAGGTGGAAAGAGGGTCCACGTTGAAGAACTCGGGTGTCGACGACACATTAGGAACTGTGGTATTGGTAGTTAGGCCTCCTAAAGAAGAGATTGATGATCAGCTCAGCGATGAAGACTGGGAGTGAAAGGATAGGAGATATTTGTTTCACTCCCCACGCTTGGAATTCTATCGAAAGAGTCCCGAGATTCAGTTCTCACAGTTTCATTGGTTCCATCTGCTCTTTTTATCCTTCCAAGTTCTGTATTTTGTTGTATTTTCTGATATCTTTTGGTCCGTTGGAAATAAAATAATATAGCAGATGACTTTAAATTCCACTCTATTCCGATCAATTCATTCCTGTATTTTGTTTCGCGGAAGCATGATCATCATAAGTCATGGCAAGTTCATCCCTAGAATGGAAAAGCAAATGAGGGAGAGGATCCGAAACTGGCAGACAGATCATAATTCATCTGGATCAAGGCAAGAGTTTATGAATACCCCGAAAGACTTTATCTGCGGGGTGCAGTCTACCAATGAGCCAAATCAAGAGGCCAATGGTTAATCAGGTGCGTATCAGAATTAAGAACTAACAAAATCCAGAGGCGGAGAATGCTGGCCTTCCAATCTCCGATGGCACCATACTTGAGATTCTTAGCCCAGCAAGCCTGTAATCATAGCATAATTGCCTACAGTTCAGAGCACAAGGATAATATCACCAGTAGCAATTGAAACCCGTGACCATTACAATGATCTTCTTCAACAGGATGACAATAACAAGCCTTATTTTTTATCTAGTAAAGTCAGTATATACCGTGCATATATTGTACGACATCATTAGGGCTATACAAAAATCTTTTAATACAGTTTGACCTTATAAATTATTTAATATAATTATAATTAATTTATTAGTTATTATTATAATTAGTTAATTTATAATAATAGTTAGTAATTTTTTGTATTTTATATTTGTGAAGTCATAGATATTAAATAAAATTTTACTATTGATCAATCCCAATCTTCTCCTTTTATTGGTGAAATTTGATTAGCTTAATGTAATGAACTTTTGACATGTTGACTATTATTTAATGTTGTTCAAGGTTATTTAATTTGAATCTTTTGTGTTGTAATTAAAATATTTTTTGTTGTTGGAAATTATTATAAATTTATAATTGTTGTTGTGATAAATTTTATATAACTATAAGTAATTTTATTGTGTTAATTGAGTTTATTATGTTAAAATAAATTGTTGTCTCTCATAAATGAAAACGAAAACAAAAAACAAAGTGAGATACTTGATAAGACTGGGACTAGTCTCTTAGTCTTACTGGATCAATTTAGTCTTGTTCAACTTGAGTTATACTAAAACCATACCAGATCACTTGTTACCTAATTCAATCCTTTTTATGAAAAGGATCAGACTTTGGGTTAGGCTAAAGTCTTGTCTCGTTCGTCCTTTATGCAGCCCTAGATGTCATTATGCTTTGTTATTTATGAAACTTTTAAAAATGTTGTAAACTAAAAAGTCTAGATCAATAACTTCTAAAGTTCTATTTGGTACATGGGATTGAAGGCTAGGGAGTGAGACTGTAATTAAAAAAAAATCCAACTTTTTATGTTTGGCACAAATGATTGAGCAATTCAAATCCAAACCCAAATTCAATCCTAATCTTACCTTACATAGGATTGTTTGGTACCATCTACATTTAGTATTGCAAAATCATTCATGAGATTGAAACTATTCAAACAAATTGCCCTCGCCTATCTTTCTCTACCTTCCCTTCCCTTCCCCAATGGTGTCTCTCTTATCTCTAGTTCTTGCATCTTTGTCTTCCTCCCTTCTTGATCCATCAATAAGTTAGAGCTTCATCTTCTTCCCACCATCAACATTCATAGTGAGTCATGATTTAGTGGTTCTAGTTTGTGTTTGGCATGGATGTGTGCAAGCCTAAGTTTGCTAGATTTGGGTTCATCTTCATCCCACTATCAACATCCACATCAAGTCGTTAGCTTGAGTTCAAGTTCACCATTGATGGGTTCAAGTTCATCTTCTTCCAAATATGGGTTCAAGTTGTAAATTGATGGGTTCGATGTCCCACCATTGATGGGGTTAAGTTTCAGACTTGGTTCAAGTCTTCTCCCTCCCATTTTTCTCTTTGTTGATGCCTTCTTCTTGGATTCCTTCATCATTAGCTTCTCCATGGTTTTTTGTTCTTTCTTGAATATGAGCTATTGATTTTTGAAAACAAATATATCAATTTTGTTGTTGATTTTGATGCTTTTTACTTAATCTGAGGCAATGCTTTCAAGTTATTTTTCCCTAAATCTTTAATTGACGCTGCATAAATTTCTGGTTGTTTTTCTAGTTTCCTTGAGACAAAGAAAGCATAATGAAGATGGAATAAAGCGTTAGCTTGGGTTCACCATATGGGTAAAAGGAAAGAGCTACAAGTATCTATGTCTTTCTCACAATTTTTTTAGGTCTAATCTTAATCTCATTTTTTTTATCCCGTATTATACCAAACATGATTTTAAAATTTATTCCCACGTCCAATCCAATTTCAACCATGATCTCATTTTCAATCTTTTATAACACAACACTTATTACAAAATAAAGCTAAAAGTATTCTTTTAACTTTCCTCTATCATTCTAACAGAATTTAAAGTTATATGTTTTACTTTTTTCATTGGTGCCATTGTGATTTTCTTTGTATATGTTAAAATTATCTCAAATGATTTTTTACCTTTTTTTCTCTCAATAGGTTCTCCATCCATTTTGTTCGTATATGTTCATTTTATATTTTATCTTTGTGTGTATATTCGCACATTCATCTCAACATTCTTATTTTTGCTACTCCAATTTTATATTGTTACTGTCCCATTAAAGCCCAACATTCACTATCATATAACATAGTTGGTCTTATAATAGTTTGATAAAACTTCCTTTAAATGTATTAGATACCTTACAATCACGAATAGCTCCTTTAGCCTTTCTCCAATTAAATCACTCAACTTGTATCTTATGTGCAATATCTCCATCAATTTTTCCATCATATTGAATTATTGCTCTTAAATATCTAAACTTTTTCACTTGAGGTATGATCTAAACTCTTAATTTTATTTTCAAATTACTACTTAATGATCTCTTATCAAAATTACAATGCAAAGATCTTCAATAATATGTTGATATATACTCTTTCCTATTCTTGTTATACAACACTTTCAATTATTTCAGACATATTACGAAAAGTTAATTTTTTATATACTTTCATTTTTATCATTAACTTTAAATCATGATATGACTATATTAAATAACTTTATGTTAGTCAAGAAATAATAAAATTGACAAAAAATAATTTAATTATTAAAAAATGTCTTATATTTTATATCAAAATTTATTTTTAAAAGATGTCTTAATAAGATCGAAAAGAATAATAATTGCGTCCCCAACACCAGCATCCATGCAATTAAACAAAGTCCCACGTTATCCACCATACATGTGCGAGCATCTAGTTCCAAGCCATATTTCTCACCCTAAGATTGCCCATGCCAGGCATAGAAAAATTGCCAATGAGGCACATTTATCTTTCTACTTAAATTGGGGTTGCATCACACTACAATTTCTATATGCTTGTCAGTCCCGCTCAAGCTTAGACACTGCTAGCATGTGGAATACTTAGTCTAGCCAGCTGCTTCACTGGTGATTATCGATTATGTAATTAGCATACGCAGATAATCTGTTGGTTAACAAAACTACTCTAATGCATAAAAAAGCGTTACGTCTATTAGACAGCTCAATGTTCCAAGCAGCTCTTGTTGCAAAGACCCGGTAAAAAACAGAAAAGGCAATTGATAAATGAAGACACCAGGCACAAAAACCGCCTTATCATTTGGTGATTATACAACTTATTACAGCTTGTTACAATAAATCAAACATTCAACATCAGTTGTCTGCTATCTGACCACAATCTTCAATTACAACTGGTTCCGAGGTCCTCCCACTCTGTGAACCCACTTTCTCCATTTCCTCAACTACACCGTAGCCATCGACAACTTTTCCAAATACAACATGCTTTCCATTGAGCCATTCAGTCTTCGTTGTGCATATAAAGAACTGAGAACCATTTGTATCAGGACCAGCATTTGCCATAGAGAGAATACCAGGCCCCGTATGCTTCAGCTTGAAATTCTCGTCAGCAAATTTCGAGCCATAAATGGACTCCCCTCCGGTTCCATTTCCTTTAGTGAAATCTCCTCCCTGACACATGAACTGCGGAATAATTCGGTGAAATGTGGACCCTTTGTAATGTAAAGGCTTCCCAGATGCGCCAATCCCCTTTTCACCAGTGCAGAGAGATCGGAAGTTTTCAGCTGTCTTCGGGGTGACATCTGCAAATAGCTCCATCACTACTCGACCAGCTTTCATCCTTCCAATTACAATGTCAAAGAACACCTTTGGGTTTCGCATTTTGGTGGTCACAAGGGACCTGATAACAGTAAGAAATTCCCCAACAGTTAGCGTAGGCGGATGTCATCATATCATAGAATAGAAAAGTTATGAAGGCAGGAAAATTGGCGGCATACATTATTATTTTTATTATTATAAAAATTAATAAATTAAACTGAAATATGGAGTGATTAAAAAAAATATGTGCAAGATATATATGGAGGATCAAGGATGTTTGCCGCAAAACGTATTAGAGGTTTCCAACATATTGGAAAACACCAATGATGGTGCGGCAACAGTTGATATAGCTTATGTTAATGTTATGTGCTGACGGAAGAACTAATCAGCACAAGACCGTTCATAAGCAGCCGGGGGGCGGGGGTAAAACCCCAAATGCTTCTAACACATTAAAACATGGATCAGCAGAGATATGGCTCTACAATCTTAAATAGACAAACTACAATTGCAAGCACAGGAGCAGTTACAGCTGTTTTGTACAAAGTGGTGCTATGGAAATATACGTGAAGTATTCGAAAGTAAAACATGAATGAAATTAGTTTCAGAAGGATACGTCCAGGATCCTGGGAACAAATTGCTCGAGAGCGTAAAACAAATTCTTCCAAAAAAGACACAGAGCGATAGGATACCAAGCTAGGAAGTAGGAAACTCGACGCCTGGCCCTAAGTTTCAATGCAAGGGTATGTTAGAAAAAATGTTCATCATCCCCTATAAAATCCTCAAGCACAAAGGACATCCAGATACAGAGGATCACAGAGGGGACGACTCGTGATATCGCACAAGTTTTGAGCTCACAGGCTTCGAACGATAGAATGCCTGCAAGCCTTCGATATGTGCAGTAAAATGCAGGATACAATAATACTTATCAGTATCATAGGAAGACTCGCCAGGGCAGGCTCACAGTGAGGGGAGAATGAGACAAAAGGAGGAGCGAGTACCTACACCAGATAGACGATGAGCAGCGTTGGTGAGGGCGGAGGGGTGAGCGTCTCGCTGAACGGGATTTTAGGATTTTATACTGCAGATGCCGTCTTCAGGGTTTAGGGTTTTGCTTGGTAGTGGTATTTCTTGCTCCTGGGCTTGGCCCATTTCACCTCTGCCTTTTCCAGCCCATTCTAATTTCTTTCTGTCTTTTCATTTTGGTACAATAAACACTCCATCTTTAAAGTTACGTTACTTATATTTGTATTTTCAAGCTTTCAATAAAGCTATTAGTAAGCCACATATGTACGGTGCGTAGGAAAATATTAAAATTTATCATATCATTTGAAACAAATAAGATAATAATATTCTTTTATGCAAATCAATGAATCACAGTTTTTATAAATAGATCTTTAAACATTAGAATGAGAATATTTTGGTAGGAAAAATATACATAATTTTTTTATATTTTCATTATTTATTACTTTTTAACTACATTTTTCTTTGGGAAAATTTCAATTTAATTTCAGTTAAAGTTTCTAAAGTTTTAAAATTTCATTACATACGTGAGAGACTGAAATGAATTTATTGTCTGTAGTGAAACTATGCGCATGAACAACTTGCGTGAAGAAATTAATAATTTTTGTATGAAAAATGAGTAATTGATATAAGTAGAATTTGTAATTCTCATTAATAACATAACATTATTATGAATTTTCAACTTTTATTTCACTTACATCAATTATTCATTTTTTCTATACGAGTTATTCAATATGCCTAGTTTCACTTGTTTATATTCATAGTAATGTTATGCTATCAGAGTTTTAAATTTCAATTATATTAATTATTCATTTTTTATATATTAATTATTAATTTTTCTATACAAGTTACTCATGCGTATAGCTTTATTAAAAACAATAAAATCATTTCAATCAATTTTTTAATTTCATTTCAATCCTTGTACAAGGAAATTTTAGAGTTTTAAGAGCTTTGCCTGAAATAAAGACGAGTTAAGAAGCCATCACTAAAATTCTCTCCTTTTATTTTATGCTTCTCAGTTGTTGAGTCACTCAAATTAAATCTATATGATTTAAATACAATATTTTGTCAACATTATAGAGTTGGATTGTTAAAATTTTTTAAACCAATAAATTCAATTTTTTTAAAACTAAATTATCGTGATATTTAACTGTATTGTATGATACCTTAAATTCTCCCTTTTCATTAGGCCTTTTGCAGAGGGCTGTTTCAGAAAATCGTTAGTTCTTAAGACGGCGAACAAGTCCGAAATTTACCAAGGAATGATGATAGTTAAAAGAGCGCCATGGTTTTAAACATGAGCGAAAATTCCTGTTCTCGGCTACTTCACGGGGCTCCATCACATCGGCACGCAAGGGCACTCGCACAAGCCATATATGAACACACACATTTAACGTCCTGGACTCACATGTCACATCAGTATCTTGATACAACATGCATATACGCTTTTGCTTGCTTATCATAATTGGCAGAGTCAAACGTACACAACAGTTTGCCTCGCGACATCCCACCCACCTTCCACACAAGAATATTCAGCCAAGCCATTGTTGAGCACGACGATCTCCACTAGCTCCAACAGAATGCCGAATGCTAATCTTCTCACCAGCGTATTTTTGTTGGAGCCACTCAAAGGCATTCACATCAAGTTTTCCATTCACAGATTTCCCTTGCTTCCTGCGAGTTTGTTGCTCCCGTATAGATGCCCAAAGTTTCTCAATCGCATGCCTCTGTTGAGCAGTAAATCTTCCCACATTATCAAAGGCATGCTTTACTAATATATCAATTACTGTTTGGCACCTGCAAAAGCGACAATTCTAACATGTTGTGAACAATATGCCAATTATAAAGCATAAGTCTTCAAAATAAATAAATAAACAACTAGCAGCAGCTTCTACCATGGAGTTTTATAACGAAGAGCAGCAATCTCTAAACAGGTTATCAAGGCTTCTCTTCGTGACTTCATTGATCTCTTAGTATCTTCCTCATTCTCATCCTTCTTTATCTTCACTTCGGCTCCATTCTTCTTTTCAATTTTGTTTCCAGGAATCAAAGCATCAAGTCCAAATGGGTCAGCCACCTCCTCCTCCTCATTATCCTTGGCTCTAGAAACCAAGGGTTTATCCTGATTTATTTTGTCACTTTCATCTACCTTACCCATGCTATACTTTAGGGACACTTCTTCATCAACATCATCTTCCTCAGTTGCAACAGGAAGGTTAGATATAGCCTCCTTGATTCGTCCAGCTGCTTTGGAGAACTGTCAAAATTTTGCCAAGGGGAGGGGGGACAAATTATTGATCACAATGTGTTAAAATACTCGTGGTAAACATATAGAACTAGAGGTGATAACAGAATTCCCAGTCTAGTTCTGGTTACTGAGCAAGGATTAAACTCATGACAAATTAATCAGTACCAGACAAAATTAGAAGGTGATAAATTTAATGCAGTAATGATCTCCATCAAGACATTCAAAGACATAGCAGAGTGCCAAGTCCATGGAACTGTCAAAAGTCATAATTACATGACCACTCAGGCCTGTAGCAACTAAGCCAAATCTTGACCTCTTCTGTTTTGTTTCAATGATTTGCTATGGCATCTCCAAGACTCAAGGGATCAAACATGTGCACTCCAAAGTGTAAGCGTCACAGGAAAGCATGGCATATGTGAACATGGTGGATAGCAATCTTGGACACTCAGTAATTCACTCCGCATCTAATTTAGTTGGGCTCTGAGGGGAGACTAAAATATAGATTTAATGCAGTGGCAAATCAAACAGTGTACATTAACAAATTTTTTAATTTCTCTTTGATTTAATGAATTCACATACAAGGGAGACTAAAATATAGAGAAATGCAGTGGCAAGTCAAACATAGGTACATCAACAACAAACAACATACATAATTGGAATGGCATTATATGCCAAACCCAATGCATGTCATTCCAATATGCTTCCGACTGTCTTGACTAGAAAGAAAATTACAATGACTGTTAACAAATTTTAAATAAAACAGTGAGGATCATACCACAAAGCTGTCATCTGTATATAAATCATTTGCCACCACAGCGCTGATTGTCCATGATGTCAATTGATTCTTTTGCTTCTTATTGAGATGCTACATTTAAAGAGTGGGGAGGGGTTAAAAATCCTCAGAGAAATTCCTCCAATTAAAAAAAAAAAACAGAGAGATGAAAGTGAATATCAACATCAAAAGAATTTAAACCTTATGACCCAAGAAAAGGCCTTACTTCAGTGGCATCCTGAGCTGCTGAGAACAGAGCATGATAATCTGCCCGCACCCCAGGATCTGTACAAGGTATGGATGATGACATTGCAGCTTCTAATATAGAAAAAAAATAATCACGAGTTCCAGACTTTACACTTCCTGCCTGAATTAGTTGTATTGCAAGCTTTGAAGCCTTGCTGAACTTTGCAGGGGTCTTGATATGTAAGGATATCTTCTTCATGGCTTCAATAACTTGTGTTTCAGAAGCATCGGTTGTTGTTTTAAACTTTAAGCTTTTTTTAGGTGCTGCAGCTGAAATAAGAAAATGATTTAAGTTCACAAGAAAACAAACTTCAGCATTTCTAACATGCCTAAAAGTAAACATGTAAAAGAACATACATAATATACTGGCATTTCATAAAACTAGGAGTGGAAGTTAAATCTTTTGCTTATAATATGAAATTTCAAGTGCTATAAACCATGGAGAGCTCCACTGGTACGTGCACTGTTATTCCACACAACAGGGTATATTTTTCCTCTAAGTAACTCATTACAAATTCTTTATAATACAACTAAACCTTTGAGAGTTCAAAAGATTCAAGTTCATATATCAAGGCCAAGATACAATCTAGTGCAAGTCTTTGAATGGAAAAAAATTACCAAAAGAGGTGTGAGAGAAAAAGAAACATAAACACAGTTAGGTTTGTGGTTTGTTTTTTTCCTTGAATAGAAACTTGTTAAAAATTTTGGCACCCCAATCCATGTGTAGATCTCCTCCAGTATACTCTTACCATGCAGGCATGCCCACATTTAGTCAATCCTGGGAGCTTTTTATTTATCTCTTCGTAATTATGCTATTCAAAGTTATGAGAGAAAGTTATAGAAGTTTCATTTATATGCATATATACATATAACAAAAGAAAGAGTGGGAATTTTGTGAACTCATTAAGATCTACATGTTGATGATGGATAAATATGTATTTGAGCATTGGTTACAATGAGAGGAGGCAATTAGGGGGGGGGAACCCTTGATATAAAAATCCTGCTATGAAAGAAAAGATAAGGTCTGCACCAAAAGATGTCGACTATCCATCAACATTATCAGGCCATGGTGACTACATTTATGTAAAAGAGTGTATATATAATTCATCAAACAAATATCCTGAAGTTTCATAATCTTATCTGCAGTAACAAGTTATTTTAAATCAACGGAACACCAGAGTAGCAAGTTGCTGGGGAAAGCAGTACTGCTTGAACCGAAGCTATAATACTCATAATCCAATATCAATCTTTATATAATAAGCATTTCCATCAAGTTCTACTGTAAAATGCAAATAGACAAGCAGAACAGACACTCTCTAGTCTCCACGCAGCAATATAATAACTTCAATATCTAATGTTGCAGATATGGAAAAAGGAAAAAGAATATAATCTCTATGGAGACAATGCCGTGAATTTGAAGTGACTTGAAATATTTAAGCAACCTGTTTAATTCAAGTAGATTTAAAGATTCATGAAGTTTAATAATGAGAGCATCCGCACAATTGATTATGTTCGATTTGCAGCTCTACAATACCCATTCCCGTACACAGCAAATATGATCTCTACGTTTCAATTACGATGTCCTTTCTCTTGCAAGAAAGAAAATAGCCCATTAATCTCATTTTTCAAATAAAATATATCCAAAATCACGAATTTAGCCGCCAGATTCAGCTCTCAGCGGAAGAGCCTAACATAAGGAAGAGGTATGCAATAGTCAAAGAATTACCATCAAGAACACCTCCCACGTATCCCTAGAATTATTTAATTATCAAAAGTTGAAGTCTTTCTAAAACGTCGAAAAATCGACTCATTGATTGAGAGTAAAAGGAATCTGAAAGTGCAAAAGGAATTACCGCTCGAATGGGGACCGAAAAAACAAGTTTTCAATAAAAGAGAAGAAAATATAGGATTTTTTTAGTTGTATATCAATGAAAAAAAGCAGTCACCTTCGGAGTCAGATTCAGTGGGCTTAAAGCGCTTGAGGGCACTTTTGAGGATAGGCTTTGGAGCAGAAACAGGAGAGGATTCCCCGATGTCAGCAGGAACTGGCTCTGGAGCTTCGTGTTCAGAAGGAGGAGGAGGAAAAGGGTTTGCAGAAGGAGGGGGCAATCCTGCGAAGAGGTTGTCCGCCATGATTGGCTCTCTCTCCCTCTCGCCTCGCTCCGCAAGGAAAATTTTTAGAATCCAACTAGCGCGTTGAAATGCGAACAGTAAGAGCGTTGGTGCGGCCTCCATTCTTATATGATTTAATAATTTCTTTTAAAAAAAAGAATAGGTTCTAATTTTATCCTCATATTTATTTGTTAGTAGTGTTAAATATTTTATATGAGCAATTTCTTTTAAATATTTTTTTTAGAGTCTAAAAACATTTTTTTATTAAAAGGTCATTAATTTTATTATATTTTGTTAATGTGATATATAGGTGGAGCTCACATGACAATCTGACTATGCCATTTAAAGCTAATTTATTTCTAAATTTTTTTACCAGGAGCACCGAGCATTTTAAAATTTTTTTTAAAAGCACTGAATATTTTAAACTTTTATTAAAATATTAAATATTTTTATATTTAATAATTTAAATATTATTATTTATAAATTTTAATTTAAATTTATAAATTACTTTTTAAATATTAACAACTCAAACTAACATTTTATAAGTATATAAATAAATTTTTATTTTTTAAATATTAATTTTCAATCTTTTCTTCAATACAGTGCCTAAATCATTACGTCTTTTTGTACGTGCCAGAACTTATATTTTAAAGGTTAAAATATATTTTTTAGTCCTCTAATTTTATATGAAGTTTTAATTTAATTTTTAATTTTATAACGTATCTTTTTAATTCTTTAACCCTAACATTATTAGTTTTAAATGATTATTTTTTGTGTTATCATTATTTTTTTTAAACATTAAACTTACTATATCAACAATTTACACATTTGAAAGTTTAATATAAAACTTTATTCAGATAAAACTAACAATATTAATATTAAGAGATTAAAAGGATATTTTATAAAGTTGTGTGACTAAAATAAAATGTTGTGTAATTTAAAGCATTAAATTTATACTTTAGCATATTTTTAACAGTGATTGAGTTTCATAAAGTTTTAAGTTATTTTTTGTAATTTTTTTTATCAACTAACAATCTTTCTCCAAAATCTTATACTATTTAAATTTAATACTCTTTATATGTTACACTATTAGAAGTAAAATCAGAAACATAACAAATCAGAACCAACAATATGCTAACAAAAATATTTATTTAAAAGATATCACTTATTTTATTAATGTGCTGTAAAAAAGTTACTTAATAAAATAAAAATGGAGAGACGAGAAAAAAAAATTCCTTCATTAATTTGAAGGTTCATTCCCTTCATCTTAATACAAAATTAAAAAAATAAAAAATATATAAATATTAAATTGGATAGTGTAATATTTTAAATAATAATATTTAAATTATTAAATATTAAAATACTTAATATCTTAACAATATTAATTAAATTTTATTTTAAAAAAATTTCAGGATGCCCAATGCTTCTAAAATAACGTTTTCAAAAAAAAGTTTAAAAATAAATTAGTACAAAAAGATATAATTAAAGTATTACATCTCACTATGTGTGAGCCCCACACATATGCCACCTTGGTAAAAAATGAAAAAAATTAATAGTTAATTGAAAAAAGAGTTTTTTGCTCTTTAAAAAAAATTTAAAGATAAAATTACCCTATTTAAAAGTATAAATTACCCAACACTTTCAAAAAATAAATATAAAAGTAAAATTGAACTTATCCCTTTAAAAAATTAAGAACTTCACAAATGTGTTGCACTCGTTGATGCATGTACTTCAAAATACAAATTAACTTATCAAGGCATAACTTATTATAGATTTAATATATATATATATATATATATTAATAATAAATAATAAAAATATTCAAATTTGAATGGACGGGATAATAAATACTTTTTTTATTTAAAAATATAAAGTATTTTTAAATGAATTCTATCCCCAATAAAATAATTATTTATTTTTAAACTAACTTTATTTTTTATATTTATTTTTATTTAATAAATTGTTTCATCCTTTAAAAAAAAATTAAAATGTAATTTTATTATAAAACTTTTTTGTTGGGAATGTCTCCCAAACTTTTACTTGAATAACGTTATTCCAAACCAAAAAAAAAAATACAATTTTATCCCACCATTAACAAATGTTTGTCTGTTAAAATTTAATTTGATCTCTTGCTTTACACGTGTCATTTCCTCCCTCTCTCAGCACTGTTCATCTTCCTCACTCTCCCTCCGTCCCCACTGTGAAAAATTTGGAATCTCTTGTCTCTCTCTCCCCCTCCTCTCCGCCACAACCTCTGCTTCTCCTCCCCGTCCCTCTTCTCTATGCTAGCCCTTCTCTCGTGGTCAGAGACTCTGTAACTCCTTCGCAGCATCATCAACCTGGTCACCCTTGTTGTTGTTGCCGTCTTGCATCGGGAATGGCAAACCTGTCACCCCCAACTATCTCGCCATCACAGTCCGACGACGCCTCCACCACATCCTTATATTTTTTTTGTCATCCAGCATTTCCAATGCCACCTTAAGGGCATTATGAATCGCTGTGGCGTCATCGTCCAACATGAGCGGCGCGTAAGAACACACAAACAAGCAATGGAGATGGCGTCGTTTGGAGAAGAAGCTGTAGTTGAGAGTGTTGCTGCAGCTGAACTCATAATCGCGTGCAGTGAGAAGGTAGGGGAACGTCGTGGGAGGTGTTGGAGCCACCATGGTGGTGGGAGATGAGATTGGCGATTGCTTTTGGGGACGTTTTAGAATGAGGTTGAGGTCCATCGTGAGTTTTTCTTTGGCGAAGCCTTTACAGAGCATAAAGAAGATGACTCGTACAATGCTTCACGTTGTGGTGGAGAAGAGGGGGGAGAGAGAGACGGGAGACTTGAGAGAATTTTTCATAGTGGGGAGGGGGAGAGAGTGAGAAAGATGAACAGTATAGAGAGGGAAGAGATGACACGTGTAAAGCAAGAGTCGAATTAAAATTAAACAATCAAACGTTAATCAATATTAACTGCAAGGTAAAATTACTCAACTTGCTCCAAATAATAGTTTAAAATACCAAACATCCCTTGCCCTTTAACCTTTAAAAAAAAATATAAAATAATTTATTTAATAAAATTAATTTAAAAAAATAATTATATATTAAAAGATTAAAAATATTTTATATTTTTTAATATTCAACTCCTCAAAAAATACCTTATATTTTTTAAAAAAGAGAGTATAGACAATTATATTTTACGTTATTTTTTAAAATATACTATGTGAATGCTAAGCAGTTCGATAAAGTACTAACGAATCAGTTTAGCTTGTCATAATAAATGAGTTATTCAACTTTGATTCTCACCCAAAAAAAAAAAAAATTGATGTGCAGAATAAGATTATGGCGTATTTTCTAAATATCAATACGTATGTACAATTAAATATAGAATAAATCTCACTATATAAATTAAGAAATTATAAATAATACAACTAATTTCAGTAACTCGTAAGAAGCATAAAAGAATGTCTACTTGTATATAGATAAGATTAATTAGTTAAATGCGTTTGTTTGTTTTAATGACAATAAATATTTCTTACAAATAATATTTAAACATTTATTTGACGTTATTTTTTAGATTCCAATCACCATATAATTGAATATTCAATCCTTTCCGCATGCAAAATGAGGGAGCGCCCACGTCAAAAACTGGCTTACATATTCATTGTTAAATAATAAAATCCCATTGATTACCATAAATTAGACAAGTCGTTACCAGTTTGCTCTCTCATGCACTATTGTCTAACGGGCATCATACATTTCTCATTAGGTCGATACCAGAATACCAAGAATACCAAAAGAAGAAGAAGAAGAAGGAAAAGGAATAGAAGGATTTCAGGGAGAGAAAAACGGGAAACAAGAAGTCAAGGGGAAACAACTCTGCATGGCATTCTATGCACAACGAAAATAGAAGCAAGTTGTAGCCCAGAAGCTAATCTGATATACGCATGTCGCTACTACCTTTATTTATTGTGGTAGTAAAAGAAGGGAAACAACCCTGACTTTAGGCTACAGCATGAGCAGATGAGTAATAATCTTCAAAAGCAACGACCCTTTCTTCAATGGAATGCGCCGTCGCATGCTATAAACAGCATCACTTTGGGTTGAGACTTGTGGCAAGTAAAGATATAATACAAGTACCAAAGCAGAGGATAGATGAGTGCTTTCCAAACCCCCAGAGCCATCATCTCTCATCAATCATGTTAAATAATCTCCGTTCTCTGGAGACTGATGACCCCCATGGCCTGTTTTTCCTGCACACCAGAAAACCACAAGGGAAGTTGAAGCTTGGGTTCGGTGAAGGTGCAATTAGCATTTCATACCTGTCATTTGTTCAAAGCCAGCATTTCTGGAATCAGGACGAGCCCACCACTCTGTGGGCTGGGAAGGCGTCACATGCACACCACGTTGTTGAATCATGAAATGACTCCCACCAACAGCATGATGATCATCATCATTTCTGCGAATTGGATTCCCGCTGGAAGATTCAACGCCCGGCTGGTAACCTAAACTTGATACCGACTCCCCAACCAATGATGCCACCTTGCTCCCAGAAGCATCACCTTTTACACCAGCACTAGCTCCGGCATCCTTCTTGGCATCCAGAAAAAATGTACCAACAATCACCTGCGCGCAAATCAATCATTAATTCCAGGAAACTTCTTGCTATAACTTTTACATGGGGGTGTTTGGTATGGCTGGAAAGAGGAGAGATGAAGCACTAAAAGATGAAATATATTTGGACATGTCCCAAAACATCAATTATTCCCATGCCTCTATTTTTCATCTTCTCAGTTCTCTCTTCTTAAGTGTATTTAATCCAAAAACTTTATCCCGTCCTCCTCCAACTGAACTTGCCTGTCTTCTAACTCCCAAGAAAAATGATGTCAGAAATCAGAATTAAATAGGGAAAAAGAAAAGGGACTATGTCACCAATATGGGGCGCCTGTTATTATTATTATTATTTTTTAACAAAAAATTTTGGTAAGAAATATTTTAAAAATTATTATTACCTGAACTGGACCAGCAGCTTTTAGGGGTCCACCAACTCCTCCACCTATGATTTGACCATCGGTACTTGATAAGCACACACTAAGACCACCAGTACGCCCTCCAAGTTCAGTACGGACATAGGAACCAGATAATGAAATAATCTCAAATCGACCCTAACGTCAAAGAAAATCATAACATTACAACTGTGAGAATTAGATTAGGTCCACACTCTCACAAAAACTGAAAAAACTTTCCAAACAAATTAAAGTGCTAATCACAAGACTCAAAGAAAGAAGCAACAGATCAACACGAGAAATGATTATTTTCAGTAAACATATTTGCTTCCACAGAGTTGAAATGTTGAGATCACATGAAATTTATTTGTAAATGCTCGAGCGAGCAGTTGTGCTCCTGAAGGAAACTAAAACAGAATTATTCATTGGACTGAAGCCCAAGAAATGTCTATAGAAATTGAAACCCTTTATTCAAGCCCTTTCACTTTCACTCAAACATATATAAAGGACGAATTTGATTACAATGAAAAATCAGATATAAAATAAGACTCAATATCTATCAAGTGCCATAGTTAATCTGATGCTCATAAGATTAGATGCAGACCCAAGGTTGAAATAGTCTCACTTCCTCTTGAAGATAATTTAAAGAACAAGCGATCAAATTGAACACTCCAGATGTTTTAAAAGAAGAGTGATTAATAATTTACCTCATATGCAATATTGCCTCCTGAGGTTGCAGGTTGACGGAGAGAGGCATTAGAGATGGAACCAGATGCAGACAAGATGCACATTTCACGCCTACTTTGTTGCATGAACAACATAATTTTTTGCCCAACATCCTATTAAATGCATAAAAAATGCTAAACTTCGTTTAGACTGGTAGCATTCATGATATATCAAAATGCCATGAACAATAAAGATCCAAGACCAATTCTGAACGTGAAATCTGACAGGAAAAGCTCAGCCTTCCAAAAAAATACAAATGCATCAGCATCGTTTATTTCAGTGAAATAACCTGTTTCATATGCAGAGATGCAAAGCATTATAATCAATATTACTTCAACTCTATCAGATCAAATGAGATCACTTGTTGGGATGTTAGCTGGATCTATGTGACACATCCTTTTGTGCCTTTGCCGGTTTGCCCGGACCCATGGTAGGTGCCTTACAGAGGTGCAACCTATTGCACTTTCACAAAGACACAAGGTGTACCTAGAGATAAAAAACATGATTGCTCAATTGCAGCAGAGCTACAGCCCAACGCACCATCCCATTTACTAGAGACACTTACACTTACACTCAAGCCATAGCGTAAAAATTGCCAGCTTAACAAGAGCATACTATAGACTTATGAAGGACCAGATACATAAAACCACCAAGGCTGCAGAAATACAGAAAAATCTATATGAAATGCCAGGTGTCCAGTGAGTAATGGCTAGTGGCAAACAAGCCAGCGGTCTAAATCTGACTCAGATAGAACCAAACAGAAGCAATTAGATACCAGAAAAATGGTATAAAAGTTGAATGTTGGATTTTACAATTCTAATAAATGTGAGAAAATTACAGTTTAGGCTTAGCTAAATAAAGGCTAAAAGCATCATATTTGTCATAAATACTTCAATAGGATTTTACTGAGCTGAAATATTTTCACTTTATGCAAGAGATTCTAGAGGGAGCCGATGGTTTTTACTTATAGGGCATGGCATACTATATAACTCATGAGTTATCTTTGTGAGAACCTGTAAAACATGTACCAAATAGAGGTTCTGAGGAACATATTTATTTCAAGCACAAAACACTCCCTCTGCTCATTTTTTTTACGTCTCATTAGAATTTATACAAAATTTCAAGACTTCTTATTTATTATAAAATCCATCACCTTCTCTGTAAGAAAATTTTATTGCACTTGATATTTTAGATTTTATGAGAAACCCTCACTTCATATCCCCAAGAAAATTCACAATTAGCCAAGTAGAAGGATGCAAAGTCTTCTATAAATTGATTAAATGCATAAAAAATTGCACGGTATGAGTGTCATCAGGACCAAATGAACCTTTGGACGTGGCTCAAGCATCCCTACAACTGAACCATACTTTCAGATACAATGGCAACAAAAGCTTGTAAAGTATGTTTAAAAGTTTCCCTTCGCACGACTTGTTAGCAAAAAGGGGGGAAAATCTATTATTTCATTTCTTTAAGTTATCAAATTATCTTAAAAAGAATTACATCCAATAGCAGAGGGATGCTATCCAAGCAAAGAGTTATAATTTTTTTAAGGAAAACCTGAATCAAATTAAATTATAACAATGCAAAATACTTCCACTTTCTCTTTGGGCTATGAACAAATAGTATGGAAGCATTAATTGCCTTCTAGTATGGCAAAACTCAACAAAACTTAAACTTTATGCAAGATTCAAGCACACATGGCTTTGTAAATAAGCGAACCAAAGTATGTGGAACTTCTACTATATTTATTTATTTACCGATAAATTGAGGTACAATGCTTCCTATAATAAGAGCTTGCATGTATTACATGTCAAATAAACAACTATAATTAGCAAGATCTATTAAAGGACTGTCAAGAATACGTACGTACCTCACCAGCAGCAACAGTAATGACGTGTGGCGTGAAGCCTTGACCTGCATCAGTTGGCAGCAGCAGCATTGAGTTAATATTATATGACTCACTTGATACTGGCTGATTAGCAGGAAAACATTTCTTTTTCTTTTTCCTTCACGAGGAGGTATTGAGGAATACAAAACAAAAGACGGAGTAATAAGCATTAATCAACAGAAAATATAACAAGCGTAAGTATATGACGACATATATATTATGTTCTTGATCCAAAAAGAAAGGTGTGACACTATTAGGATGACTAGAAACATAGACATCTTAGACTTGTGCCCTCCAGTTCATAGAATAAATCAATGTCACTTTGGAAAAAAGTGAGTGTCAGAGTATGGAATAATAATGGAGTTCGAACCATCAGAAGTAGAAAACACGGTCACATGTTTGATTTGTCAATTAATTAATAAAGCAGCCCAGGGATGAAACTATATAGTCGGCACTCCCTAGGTTCAGCTTCCACCGTTCAGTACACATATCCACGCTCATCTCAGCAATACTTGCACACGCCGGGTAGCACCCCAGAAGCAGGATTGCGCATAAAGATGAGTTCAGGATGAAATGGTAGGGGATTAATATTTTAGATATATCTGCCAGATTTTGAAGAAATTGACTCTTACTGTTGTGATGCATCCATGATGCCTGACGCAGATTTCCAACGTTTTTCAGAACTTTAGACACATTTAATACGAATTAGAAACTTGTTGGAGAGTATCCAGAAATGACCAATACCCGAAACCTACTTTGCAAACAAGAAAAGGTGATAAACGGAATGATATCACTGGTATATACATCGTGTTGAACAAAGTTGCGTCACAGTCCATGCAATACAAGCACAACACAACAAGGAGGCCGAAATTTTGAAAATCCACCAAAAAAAAAAAGCAGGCAGAAAAACACCCCAAAAGGCCAGAGCAACAGCCAAGTGGAAGAAAAACCTAAATGCGCCCTAACCAAGAGTAAAATGAATCCACACTAAAACTCCGAATTCAAGGATTCGCAATCCGTACAAAGGGAAGGGGGGAAAAGTTTGGAGAGGAACCCACCCAGAGAAGAGAACTGGGATTTCTTGGAGGAGCCGGTGTACGAAGACGAAGCAGAGGGGCTGCCCAGAGCGTGGCCCTTCTTATCCCTGTTGAAAGGGTGAGAGGACGAGGTGGCAGCCTTCTTGGCGGCTAGAGCTTGCTCGGGGGTGCCGTACTTCCTGGGCCTGCCCCTCTTCCTCTTGGGGGGTTCTAATTGAGAGGAGACCGCGGAGGGCACGGAATGAGGGAAGACCATGTGGGAGGCGTCAGTGTTGGGCAAGAGGCCATTGGTCGGGGAGGAGGTGGCGGGGGCGGCGGCGGAGGTGGTGGCCTGCTGTTGCTGGTGGTGGAAGTAGGAGCTGAGCTGGTTTTCATTGGGTTCCATTTTGAGGAGGGGGGAGAGGAGGGAGGGAGCGAGAGTACGAGGCCGAAACAAAAATTGTTTTTTAATTATTTTCGGGTTTTTCTGAAATTATTTGGTGACGAAGAAAATGGGAAAAGGGAAGGGGGAAGGGGGAGACTGGAGAGGCGTTGGATGCGGAAGGGGTGGGTGACGTGGACGGTGGGAGACATGACGGACCCGATAGGAAGGAAGGGATTAAAGGATAATAAGGAGATTAATGGGCTGTGGGGAAGGGAAAGGGGGAGGGATATGATGAGGTGGACATGATTGAAAGAGGAAAGCGAGTAAATATGAATAGCGCTCTCTCTCTCTCTCTCTCTCTCTCTCTCTGAGATTGCCACTCACAAGTGGCCAGTGGGTGACAACTGACAACACCACATCCCATTCCCACCCGATCCATCAAAGGCTATCCTCTCTTACATCGTTCAACGCCTCAAACAGGAGGAGTTTCGGGCATGTTTCCATCCTCTCAGGTACTTGGAATGATTCCCCGAGCGCCCATGATAATGTGGCATTGGAAAACATTGGCAAAAAACAATATCCTTGTTTGTTTTTCTTTTTACTCTCCGTGCTTTTGGATTTTTTGCATGTGGACAAAAAATATCATAGTTTCTTTACCTGATGCTATGTTCAAAAAAAAAAGGAAAACCCCAATGCTTTTCATTTTTTAATTAAATATTGCCAATTCCTTGTATTTTGAAAAACAAAAACAAAAGGAAGTGTTTATGGATAAAAATGGCCATCGAACGAGTGAAAAAAAAAATGTAATCAACTTGAATTCAAGATATGTATACTAGTTTATGATATAAATTAGAATGATAGGCTGAAAATAGACAAAGAACTAGATGATGGCCCAATGAAGAACCTCTAATGTCATCATGAAAATGAACTTTTACAAATATAACCCATGTTATACAACTAAATTAAGCAAATAACTCAATGTTTATTATATTTTATATTATGATTATTTTATTATATTTGTCAATAATATATTGTTATATATCAATAATAACCTATTGTAAATTTTTAAATTTTTAACAATAAACTCATTGTATGTCAATGATAAATTCCTTGTATATCAATATAAACCAGCTACACTCTTAAATTTTCAAAAAATTGGTCTATATTTTTTGGGGCATGAGATTTTTTCCAACCAATGAACTAATTTATCCTCATGAAAAGGGATATTTTGATTAACTCAATTGATTCTTGACTCTAACTAAAGTCTATGATTTTTTTATTGTTTTGATGATTTGTAATCTTAAAATGTATTTTATACCCTTCCTAGTCTTTATTATAAGGCATCTCTAACTATTTTATTGAAATTAAGTAGTGATGAACTCCAAAAATTGAATCAATAGGGACATAATCTATACTTAAAATAAATATTCTTATTTTTATAAAAAAAATATTTGTAAACATATAAATTAACTTTATGATATGAGTTAATAAAATTAAATATTAAAATAGTGCATAAAGTATTGCATTATAATAACATAAAAGACTCTCTTTATGTAAAGTTATATACCTCTTTTGCATGGCGGGAAATTTTGCACATGTGGCCTCTCCATTTTTTTTTTATCATCATTTTCCCTCTTCTTCCTTATAAGGGAAGTGGAGGGAAAATGATGATAAGAAAATGAAGACATTGCTTGTCTGAGAAATTGTTGTGGAAAAAATTTTATTAACAAAGTTTTTTTGAATTATTACTTTTCAATTTTGAAACTATTGATATTTAAGGTTGTGTGTGTGTGTTTATATAATTTGAGATGGTTAATTTTCTAGTGGGATACAATTTTACAGGGGGCAAGTAACAGTTTTTCAAATGAGGGGGGAATTGAAATTTTGTGGGGAGGCAATTAAAATTACTTGGGGCCACCTTTTTTTTGGTTTGTGGGAGCAATTGCTTCCATTATGTCAAACGTGGGTCCGTAAATTAATGAAAGATAGTTAATTCATTAATTTTATTTAAAAATATAATGAAATTTTAATTTTACTTATATTTAAATGAAATATTTTAAAATTTGAATTGCATTTTTTCTCATGGTTAATAAATTTATATAAAAATATAATTGATATCTCACTAAATATATTATATCAAGTGAAAATAAATTCTTCCAAAAGCTGTCTTATAATTAAAACAAGAGAGTATATTGTTTTTTATATGTAGCATGATTTAACTTGTTTGTTTGTCACTTTTGAAATGTCAAGAACTATTTTCAAAAGTCCTTCTGTCATAACATGTTTAGTTGGATGTTGTTTTAGTGAAGTAATATTACAGATATACTTATATTACATAGTGTGCTCGTAAAAATAAATTACTCCTTAAAACATGACTTTTATTTGTGCAATCTAACTAATACGCTTGTTAAAATTATGAGAAAATTATGAACAAGTCCCATATAGAAAATTTGTCTATAAACAGATTCCATAAAATTCAAGAATAATGGCCAAGTCTCACAAGACCCGAGTATAATTTGGGATTAGGTACAAAGATAACACTGTCCCAATCACTTTGACTTATGCTTACAATTATAACTTCATGATTTTCAAGCAAAAATTCGTAAATTGCCAATCAAACTTCTTCATTCAAGGCTTGGTATAACATGGAATTTTGTCAAATTAATTATGCTCACTTAAAGTTATAATTTCAAGGCGAGTAATAAATTTTACATCACAATTAAACTAATTATATAATTGAGTGGGCATAATTAACTCTATAAAGGCCCTATGTCATATCAAGTGTTAAGTAAGAAATTTAGCTCGTGAATTGCAATTCTTTATTTGTAAATTATGAAATTATAGTTGCAAGGGAAAGCCAAATTAATTATTAGTAGCTTTAGCTTTATTAATCAAGTCTGACTTTGAACAATCCATGGGCTAAATATGTTAATCTCAAGTGAGCTCAATTACCTTCCTCACATTCCAATTAAAAAACCATATAGCCTTAAGTAGGTATATTTAATTATATTATTATGTAGAAAATTCATATTATATCTACTGTGAAACAATAAATGTAACTCATAGATTATGATTTTTTACTTGAAAATTTTAAAGTCATGGTCGTAAGTGAAAACTGGTTTAATAGGGGCAACACTGTCGTTGCACCTTGATTATAAATTATATCCAATTCTTAAGGAACTTTATTATAATTTTTAAATGTTGCGAAACTCATTTATAAATAAGTTTGTTATAAAGGATCTATGTATAAATTTTTTTATAACTATTTATAACTTATGTTATAAAAATTATAGAATAAAATATAGTGATATCTCTTCTATTTTACTTAAATTATAGAGACCTCACATACAACTTTAAAACCTATATTTTAGTCTAATTGTTAACATTATTAAAAATATTCCATTAAAAATTCTAAAATACATGATTTTTTATTTGTACTTATGTTAAAAAATTTAAAATTATTATTATTATTTGACCCTCATAATTTAATTGTATACTTTCTCTCTCTCCCAATTTTAAAAATTTAAATAATTGCATCAATTTTTAAATAAACAATTTAAATTTTGTGGTAAATTAATAAAATAAAAAATATATATTGTACTGAGTAATTTATTGTATTAAATCCTATTATTTCATTAATTTTTTTAACAAAACCTTTAAACTATTACTTTTTCCAGTTTATGTATTGAAATTTTAGAAAATATTACTAAATAAATATGTTTATACAACAAAAAAAATAAAATACAAATAAAAAGTGAAAAATATTACTAGATAGTATTTATATTTAAAGAAGGAGTACTTTAGTTCAACATATATAATTTAACAATCAATAACAGTTAAGTGGATAGAAATAGAGTGTTAAAAATGTAGGGAGTGTTTGTGTTTTGTAATTATTCCTATATGTTTCAAAAATAGAAGGGAGAAATTTGTAAATAAGGTAAAATAGAGATGGGTTTGAGTATTTTATTCAAAATTATCAAAAAAGTAATTTTAAATATAGAAAGTTTAAATTAAATATAAATAGTTCACATTGATGATAAATGATTTATTTATTAAAAAATTATTTAAAATACAGCATTTTTAAACCTTAACAATCTAGGTCTCATAACTAGACGCACTTGACGGAAAAGATGCATGATGCTGCATGCTTCATTTTTTACATTTGACTGGGTCAATATACATCTTAGTATGTGTTTAGTTTTTAATTTATTAAAAGTTCATTTGATAAAAATTTATGTGGTAAAAATTAGTTTAGTGAAAGTCAATCGTTATAATGAAATTGTGTTTAAATACATTTTTTTTAAAGTTTATTTGGCATACTAAAAGTTATTTTAATTATAGTAGTAAAACGTGCTTTTAAATGTACAATTATAAAAAAGGATATTAATTTTTAATGATTTATAATTTTTATTATATAAATATAATATGTTTAAAATATTTTAAAAATGTGACAAATATTTTAAATAACATAAAATTTGATTTATAATACTAAAAACTTGATTTCTAGTAATTTTTAATTTGTAATTTTAAAAATTGTGATAAAAATTTATAATTTTTATTATACAATAATGCTATAAATTAGCATAATTAATTATTCAATTATAATGCAAAAAAATTTATACCTAGTTATTATTATTGAAACAATGATTATATTTTTAATTAATTAATAATTTTTTAAATAAAAAATAAGAGATTAAACTTGGAGTAGTATGATCAAATAACATCTCACTTTTCATATCTACTTTTTAAAAGCTTTAAATAGGTACGTTTCTCATATTCACTTTCAGTCACTATTTAACTATATTTTTAAGATATGCTTTCCTGTAAAATATTTTATCCAGATAACTTCCAGCATCTTGAAAGTGAAATCTTGCTTTTTGAATGTGAAGTTGAGAATACCCAAGCCGACCCTTAATTTTAAAGGTTAAAGATCCTTTTCCCTAAACTTCTTCTTCTTCTTTTTTAATGAACATTGGTTATTCTGTACTAAAAGGTTAAACAATATCTCTTAAATAATTTTTAGGAGAACGGTTGCATTTTTGTTGGGGACCCATCATCTTCTTGATTGT